GAAGCCATATTCAAGTTCAAACAGGCTACCCCAGGTATTTTCCTATTCCCCTTTCAAGATTACTATGACATTTTATTTATCATATAAGAATTTTGTGCCAAAGAGATAAACTTTTTGTAGGAGCCAGCCAGGTCTTCATTATATGGTTCTGATGAGGGTGTTAGTGCAGCATATTCAGATCTTATGACTTCCTGCAAGGAGACGTTAATTCTATATTGGAATTGCAAGAGGTATAATTGTTTAAAGGCTTAGAAGAGAATGTAGAACTGTTCTCTTGCATTTTATGCAAACAGAAACCATACTTATCTATAGTACTATGTCTTTACTTCTCTCATTTTTTATGCACTGATAGTTTTCTCCTTATATTAGGCCCTAGTTGCCCAGAATCCATCTATTGCCCAAGCCTCTGATGGTAATTGATTTCTTTTTGTTGTCCTTTGTTTTCCCCCTGTAATTTAACCTTAACGTTAACATATCCTTCTCTGTTGATTGTTTATTTTAATGTTTTTATTTTATTTAATTAAATCCTTGAAATTTCTGTTGAGGATTGCATGGAACAGTCCCGATAAGAAGCAACTAGCAATATAACTTTCCCTAGGAATTGAAATTCCGTATGACAGTATTAGGGATTTTTCCATTGCTTGTGGTTGTGTGGAAAGATGTTAGATTCAAGGTAGAATCTTCTCTGCTTTGGTTTTAGTATGTGCCAGAAGTGAAGACATACCTAAGTTGAATTGCGAGAAGAAGTTGGGTATTGAAATCTGTCAGAAGGTGGAATCCTTATGTTTTTGTTAGGGAAGAAGTAAATGTTTGGTATCTAATTTAGTGCATTTATTGAATTACATCAGTGACTCGGATTTTATAAATTTTTTGAATTATTGAATATTAGGTTACAGGTACATTTCAACAATGGATATTCTTTTTTTGGCAGCCTGAAAATGCTAGGGTTGAGGTGGGCATGGGGTAGATGAGCCTCTATTTAACAAGTATGGTGGCTGCAGATTACTATAGTTTCTGTGAAGTTACAGTATGCTAGGTTGTTTAAATGAGAGTGAATCTTTTTTAAGCGCTGCAGAACTTTGGAAGATAGTGATTAGTGAGTTAGTGACTGAGCATACATTAGAATGTTCTAGTTTCATGCTGGCACGGTTTCTGTAGCTGTTATTTTTCTACTTCATGCTTAGGGAAAATAAGTCTCTCTTACTGACTTGCTGCAGACTCTGGCATCTGCAATTGCTTATCTTGTGTATTTGGGGAAGGAAGCTGGAAACAATTGCTGTTCTAAATATTCTATATATGTTAGTTGTCTGTGGAGGTCTTGACAGATTATTAAAGGCCAAGAGAAGGACATAACTTACTTGGAGTTTGGTGTAAAAGAAGGATATTTTTATTATGTCCAGGTTTTCAGGTCTTGGCAGATTATTAAAGGCCAATGCGATTTTGTGATGCATAAGAATAAATAAAATGGATATGCAAAAGTTGGATGCTGCTGCTGCTGCTGCTGCGCAAATGCATCTTAATTCATGAGAAGCATGCAAAGAAAAATGAAGATTAGAGGGGGAGTATGTGGCGTAGAATTTATAAAATATTGGTCCTAAAGCTTAAGGGCAATATGTTACACTAATGGAAATAGATGCATTGTCTGTTGCTGTCTGTGCACGTTGTTGAAAGGATTTATATTTACATTTCTTTTTGGATGCGATATAACCTTTACTCTGTTGCATATCTGCTTGGATTGTGTTCTGAACTAACATGAATTTGTTTTATCTTCTAAAAGGTTCAGGAAGGTCACCAAAACATTTAGACACTTCTAAGAATTTGGATGACAATTTTGATGAAGAGTGGTCACAGATTTCTCAGATGCATAAGAGGTATTTTTCCTCATCTTCTTGGACTCTTATTTTGCTAGACGTTCATTTCCCCACCGTACTTCATCATTGAGGCTTAGTTTTGTTGCTTGAACCCCATCTGTGGCAGTAATATTTGAAACTTACCTTGTTATGTATTTGGTGTAAATTTTCTTTATTTTCTATCTTGCTAAGTACCCCCACAACCCAAAAAAGAAAACTGCACACATGAAGTGATCTATTCCCCAACTTGTGAGCAGCCCTAAATCATGGATCTTCGCTACTTCTAAACTTTCTGGATTCATGAATGATTATTTCAAATTAAATTTCAGAAGAAAATAATGTGATCTTTTGCTTTTTCCAGTTTTCCACACTTACAGCCTAAGGGCTTGTGTTAGGGGACGTGTTAGAAATATTAATAAAGCCAATTATTGGTCTTCACTTAACAACTTGAGCTCCTGGGTTCCAGCGGCCCTTTTGACATTTTAAAGTTCTTATATTTATGCGCATGCGCATAAAATTGATCAAAATAGACACTATGACCTAGTTGATGCTATTCATGATTGCGTTTTGTAGAGTAGCACCTTTCAGAGACAGGTCAGTTAACAAATGGCAGAGGATGACACAAGTGACAACTGGTGCTGCTGCCTTTAAAGGCAAATTACAGGCTTTTAATCAGGTCTGGCTTTGTGATTTCACTGAGGATTCTGTTTTGTGATGAACATTCTGTTTTACTCTTAACATGTTGTCCCATCACAGGATATAAGCAACCAAGTTGCCACTTATATGAGGGATCCCAGTAGAATGATCAAGCAAATGCGGCTGAAAAGATCTGCTCTTAGTTTATTTGGAAATGTAAGTCAGTGTCGTCATTTTTGTTTTAGAAACATGATGCAGTTTACGGTTTTCTCAAACAGTCATAAAGAGAGACTCATTCTCGCTTTTTCGTTTCTTGTTATTTATTTTTGAGTGCTATTCAGTTTATGTGGACTGACATCAGGAATACGATTATAACCACTAACTTTTTTCTCATTTCTGCATGCACCTTCAGATTCCTGAGGCACATGACTGCTCTAAGGAAGAGGTTAGTCAAATGCATTGCTAATGGAGTTAAAAAAGAACCTTTATGTTTTTTTTCATGTTGAATTGTTCAGACAAAAGTAAGTCATTTTGGTATGTACCTAGTAATATTTTAAAACAAGTCATTCAAGTGTTTCAACCATAGATCAAGTCTTCATGCTCAGTGCTTGGCATCTTTGTCATCGTTTATTATTTTGATCTCTTTTTTACCTGTTCTGTTTGCTTGTGCTTAGCAAGAGTGATCAATCAATATTTCCATGTGCTCTTCACTGCCATCGCGGAACTCATATTTTGCCTGCTTTTACTTTCGACATGTCAATTATGAATTTGAATTTGTTCAGGAAACTCATATTGATGGTGATCCTGAACTTCTGGATGACTCTGAATTTTATCAGCAATTACTAAGAGAGTTTTTTGAGACAGTTGGTCCTACTTCATCTGGTAAGCAATAACTGTGTTGTTTTTGGCTGAACAAACATTCTTTATGTAACATATTTATGTTTTTACTTCTGATATCTTTGGAATATAGGACTAATCAGGACATCCTTTTTCATTTAACTTATATTTTATTTTGGTCATTATGAGTAACTGATGCCACTTTCTCATTTTCTGCTGTTTGTGAATCGTTCACACAGAGAAAGCATTTTATGCTTTCAAGAAGACGCAACAAAAGAAAAGGAAAATTGTTGATCGTCGAGCCTCAAAAAGTCGCAAGATAAGGTTAGCTGAAGAAGGCATATCCTTGTTTCATTCCATACCATTACTTTTTGTCACGTATGCATACATTGCTCTCTTACCCAGAATAGAAAAAGATATGTATTTTTGTTTTACTAATTTGTTGTTTCTATTCGGCAATGTGGTATTGAAGGTATAACGTTCATGAAAATATTGTAAACTTCATGGCTCCTGAGTCCATGAATCTCCCACCTATGGTTCCTAAACTTTTTGGAGATTTGTTCGGATTAAAGTCACAGAGATCATCTACTGGCGCAGCATAATCATATGCTTGGAAACAGATAATGACATCAAGATTTGTGCAGTAACTTGTCATGATCTATTTGTACTCGTTTAAATGGAGGAATTTTGTTTTTCTCCTCTGAAGGCAACAGTTTACTGTAGTGGTGAGGATTGATGGTTATGGGAGGTTTCAGTTTCAAATCTTCTGTTCTTAATGTACATCCATTACGTTCATACTGAATAGCAATTCCATGATGTTAGATTATGTATTAATTTAAGTGTTGGTTTAACTCATTTCAAGTGATTTTGTATTATATAAGATAAACATACGAGAGGAGTAATAGTAATTTTTTTATTGGGAGGATGATGAACACCACTGAATCTCACTTTTAGGTGGGACCCACAAATTACTCTCTTAATTTGGAAACCATTTGAAATGGCTTATTACTTGTAACAGATACGAGCTAAGTATGTAACAGAGAGTTTTATTTTGATTTATGTGAAACGTGTTTAAAATCATAATTTCAAATGATCTTAGATGGTCATAGATGATATGGTCATTCTGTTGTCTTTTTATGAAAATTTATTTGGAAAGGGGGAGAATAAGAACCTTGTGTTCAAAACTTCAAACTGATTATTTAGCGAGGAGCCGAGTAATATCTGGAATAGAATTGAGTTACGCAGTGCAACACGTAACTTTTGGCCAAAAAAAAAAAAAAAAGGTTCAACACGTCGCTGTCCTGCTATCTTCGAAATCTGTGTTTGACTGTTTAGGTGGACGAATTTGAAGGTGAGAGGCAATCGTGTTTTCTCTCTCTGCTCCCCCCAACCCCTTTTTTGTGGCTGTGTGTAATTATATGAGGTCAGTAATAGCCAAACAAGACATAAAACCTGATAAAACCATTCAAACTAGTTCCAAACCACAGATATATTACATCAAGCTACTGCAAAACAGAGGCAGCTCGAAAAATCAGATAAAACGACAAAACGATATTTCTTTGTGAAATCGTCACCAAAATGCCGATACCACATTATTGCTTCGAATTGACAAAAAATTATTGCCACAAATATATTTCGTGGTATTTTGAGCCTCAAATTTTTTTAGTTTGTGAAAAAAAAAAAGAACTCATGTTTTTCTGCCCAATATAAATAAACGCGCTGCTCGCCTGATCCCCGCAAGGCAGAGTTGTTCATTTGCTACGCTACTAATGGCTGTCCAGGTGAGTTCTAGTTCTGCTTCTTGTCTCTTTTATCGAAGTAATTTTAGTTTTTCATCAAGAAATCGCTCTTCGTTCGTATAATAAGGAGACGAAGATTGATATGATTGTGGTTCTTTTTTTTTTTTTTGGGCCAAAAATATGATTATGGTTTTCAATTTTAAGTATCGATTGAATTGTGGCAGGCGTGGTTCAAGGACGACGTCGATGACGATCCAAGGCTTCCTCACCTCCGCAACCCCCAGGAATTTGTGTCTATGGGCCAATTGGCAGGTCCTCTTTGTTTCTTTTTCTTGTTTTTCTGCCCGGAAGCATGTGTGTGTGTGTGTGAGAGAGAGAGAGAGAGAGAGAGAGCGAGAGGGAGGGAGGGAGGGAGAGGGAGACTGAATATCGTGGCTGTATAGTTCTTAATTTACCAGTGATGTATATCATAGCTGTATAGTTCTTAATTTACCAGTATTTTTGCTGAACATTGTGAATTTGCAGAACTGGGAGTGTTGTACTGGAAGCTAAATCCGAATGACTACGAGAACGATGAAGAGTTGCGCAAGATTCGAGAGGAGAGGGGATACAATTACATGGTAATATTTTTGTATTCTTTGATCAGTTTCTTCAATTCTTTCTTGTCCTGTTTTCAAAATCACAAAGCTGCAATATATATATATATATATATATATATATTTTTAAACTTCAAACTTGCAAAAGCATCATAATTAAACCTTTTTTTAATGCTGAAGTAGCCCTGACTTGAATGTGGTGCAGGATCTGCTGGATTTATGCCCAGAGAAAGTGGAAAATTATGAACAGAAGTTGAAGTCCTTCTATACTGAGCACATTCATCAGGATGAAGAGATTCGTTATTGTTTGGAAGGAACTGGGTATTTTGATGTGAGAGACAAAGAAGACCGTTGGATTCGCATTTTGGTCAAGGCAGGTGATCTCATCATTTTGCCTGCGGGAATCTACCATCGCTTCACCCTTGACACTAACAACTATGTAAAGGTATGAATTTTCTCAAGACTTCCATCTGGGAGGAAATGTGAATTGCAATTCAAACTCTGTTCAACTATATAAAATATCATGATTTGACATTCCAAGTGTTTGATTTTATGTCTTTTTAAGTTAAGAAAACGTGTAAGCTTCTAACTAAAAATGATCCTTGGTAGTTAATTTCAGGTTCTTCAGTTTAATTTTCTTTCAAAAAGGTTATATATTGTTCTAAAATACAAGCCTGACCCTCCACTTAAAAAGGGTTTAATGGGCCGGCTGAAAGGTCTGTTTTGACGGCCCTTGTGCAAACACATTGATTTACCCTGCAGGAAGTTCTAAAAATTCTCCATTCTATTCTGCTCTGTTGTTTGCACTGTACATCTCTTCCTATTTATGTTATGGATTCATGGTTCTGTTATCCTTCGTTTTATTTTTATACTCTACTTGGATGTAATATGACACACATAGGCATTATTTATGTGTCATATCGTGGGCGTGTTTGTGCAGTTAATGAGGCTATTCAAGGGAGAACCAGTGTGGACATCATATAATCGGCCACAGGAAGATCATCCTGCAAGAAAGGAATATATTAAAAGCTTTGTGAAAACGGGTGTGCCACTTGAAGCTCACTAGGAGTCTTTTGTCTATGCACATTACACACGCATCTTAATATCTTATACATGTATAAACATTTGTGTGTATCTGTGGAGTGGGACCGGCATGCAGCATGAGATGTGTATAATGTCAACTGTTGGAATAATATTGCGTGGTGTTGTGCTAGAGATATTCCATATTTGAACCTTGTTAATAGCAGTAGTTATTGAGATAAAACTCTGTTGGACAAATTTAAGAGCTATATGTTTTGAGCTTAAGAACATGGCTGGCTTGAGATTTTTTGTATTTGTGTTTTGTCTTCATTTTTTGGGGTCAGGTTAGAGTTTTAAAAGTTTGTTTTATTGAGTTAAAATCTGTGGTCCTAAAATTGTTGGAGTAACAATTATCAATGCCAGATATTTACATCCTAGTCAACATAATATCAATGCCAATTATCAACATGGAATTGGTTTTTTTATTCTGATTCCATAGAAGAATTGGTTTTCAAACAAATGATTGAGTCAAATAGAAAAGATTTGATATATTTTAAGTAAGGATTTTTATGTATAACAGATTTTTATAATGCTGAAAATCTGAATTAGTCAGTAATTACTAATTTCAGATATGGTTTTAAAAAAAAAGATCTTCAAAAGAGCTTCTTTCTTTTCAATCTTAACTGCTCGTGTTGAAGTTTTGCAACGACAATAGACAAGATTCATTTTTTAACTTCGAGTGTCTGAGAAGTTGAACTTTTTACTCTTAACTGCTTGTGTTGATTTCATATATATTCAACTATTTGCCTATTACGCATTTTCACTTCGCTTGTTTCCGTTGTTCTAGATTTTGGAAAATTAGCTTTTTAGGAAGATAGTATATAGTAACTTGTTTGGTTCATTTTTAATCCTTGTAGTGGTTGAGGCTTAACATTCAATTAAAAAAAATTATTTTCATTTAATTCAAAATTTTGTGAAGATTTCTTCTAACTCATCTTGTTGATATTTCCATCTCAACTAAAACAAGATCAGCCCCAAGAAAAAAAAAAGGTTTGTATATTTTACAATGTACCCATGAAATATTCGTGTGCATGCATACGCTTGTCAAGAGATAAATGGAGGAAGCAAGGAGAGAGATTTTGTCTTTGTTTTGGTACCAAAACATAGCATTATTCCCCATAGAGCTTATTCTTCATCATCATCGATTAATGATATTTTCATTAAAGATAAATGGAAAAAAAAAATGCCAATACCTGTCCAGAAACAAAGACACTAACCCCAACAAAAAGACTAAGAAAGCAGCCATTGGTCCGTTTATATTAACGGCATAAAAAATAACTTATTTTTAATCTGACTTTTAAAAAAGTGAGATTGAGTAAAACTTAAATTGGGTAATGTGATTTATGTTTGGATTAGTTTTTATAAAAGTTAGTTAGTAAAGTAAAAAAATTGTTTAGATTATGATTGGATAAGTAAGTTTAGTTTATAGAATGATCAAAATAGGTATGAATTTTATTAAATAATAAAAAATGATTAAAAATATGAATTTACAAAATATAATAATTTTAATTTTAAATTATCATAATAGCAAAAAAAAATATTTAATGAATAAAATATATTTAAATTAGAAATACTGTAAAATTTTTAAATCAAATAATACTACCTAATTATGAAAATCCAAATTCAAATTCAAATTCAAATTTTGCATAGATATCAAGTCCAATCTCAATTTAAGCGGTTGTTTTTTTATATATTGATAAAAAAAAAATACACAGGCGATCAGGGGGAAAAAAAGAAGCAAAAAACACGCTATATAATTAAATAACACATGCACAGACAAGGGTATTAAGGAAAAAACTAAGATCAAAACGCACACAACCCAAAAGCACGATTCATAAGCATCTAAATAAGGTTATACCTTTGTTTTCCATCTTGCAGCGCACAAGTCAACTAGCCTAGAAGCTTATCCAAACATCTCATAATATGTGAAATGTGATTTTGAATCCCAAAAACTACTTAACCACTGTTGAAAAGTGAATCCAAACAAACACATTGTCAACTTTGTCGAAAAAAATCCCACTATCTTTTCGTTGCAATCTACAAGGAGGAAAATGTCATCACCGGCAACAATGCTATCGTATGAGGCGGGAGTTTTAAAAAACCACCCCAAAAGACCAACCCATTTTGTAGGCAAATGGCAACCAAAATTGGTTGTAGAATACCATAAGAGAACTCATAGAAGCAAGAGCACCCAAAGACACTAGCTAGACAAACAAGAACAGAGAGGGAAAAAGAGGAGAACTCACCATTAGCTAGATGTTGAGCAACATCCCTTGAGGATGCATATTCCCTTCATTGATGCCTTGGATTTGTTTCCACTGAACTAATCCAACAACTTTCCCTTGGAGGTAGAAGAAAGAGCAATAGAGATAGCCATCAACATAGTCCTTCACCCAAAATGGAAATCAAAGGTGTCAAGTCAAGATCTAGTCAATCAAATGTCAAGCTACCATCAAAGCAAAAATTGCCAAAAGCAAATCCCTTCATTACTGGAAAACAAACCAATCTATCTCTAAAAGTCAATAACACAAAAAACAAACCAAAAGACGTACATCATCTCCCCTGGTGGAAATGTCGTGGAGGGAGAAGTCTAGATTATCGCTCAAGTAGTGGCGAGAAAAGGAAAACTCTCATCGCTCAAGAAGATTCTAAAGAGGAAGGAAAAAAAAACTCGCACACAATTGAGAGAAAAACAGAAAATCTAAACAGCTCACAGAGCTCTTTTTTTGCCCCTTCCAATTCCTCCTCCTTTTTCAATGCCTCTATGTCATGGTATTTTCTTATAATAAGAGCCAAGCAACGGTATTTAGGACTTAGCGTCATCAAATAGCAGGGTTTCTTTTGATACCATGTCTCAACTGTAATAACAAGGTCCCCTAAAGAGAGAGATATTGGTTGTGTCCCAATAATTCTCTCTCTCCTCACATTTCTTTTTGTCTTTGATCTAAAGCTATTATATCATGACGTGGAAAAGATTTCTTTTGCATGTACAGAGAAAGATATAGGGATGTCGTTAATCATCGAGAGCTTTAACTCGAGAAAATGTGACTTGAAAGTAATGAATATATATATTGAGTGAATGACAGCAATAAATATTAATAATAAAAAAAGGTGTGAACAGGATATAAAGAACTGAACAATAAAGGACGCGTCTTTATCTTTGTTTTTTTTTTAAAAGCTTTATTTGTAAAGTGTTTTTTGTGATTATCCGCGATAAAAGTACATAAAAAAATGTTTATTTAAGAAGTTGAAAACACATCTTTATTTATTTATTTTTGAGTTGAGTTGCACCAGCATCTGAACTATTTTTAGATGTGTATCCAGCACTCAAAACTATTTATTGGTGTAATTTTGTCCTTATTGTATTAAAAATGGAGCAATTTCAATCCCTAAACTCATAGAAGTTCATCATCTTCAACAGATCAACTTGAGACACTCTTCTCTCTCACTGAAATAGACCACCAGCAGCTACGGTGTCCTTGGGTCTTCATGCATTTTTTGGAAACTGAGCACAAAATTTTAACCAACGTTTGTAATCTCTTTACTTTTCCTACTACACTTATGGTAACCGATTAATTAATTGGCCATATTATTGTTAACCTGAGCCATCTATTTATGCTTCCCTGGGGATGAAAAATAAATTTGACCAATTTAATAATCAAAACGCACTCGAGGGGATTTTTGATGAACAACTTCATTTCGATTTTCAAATGGAATAATTGAGTCCAAGGTCCAAGGGGCGATAACAAATTTCTCTAGGCAGGCAATTCTAGTAGCCCTCACGAGTCACCACTTGTCGGCAAGTGCACTTCATGCCTGACTAATTTTCTTAAAGTCGTCTTTGTCCAACTTCAGCGACAGTGCCGAGTTTCCTCTCTTCCATGCTGGTGGCTATCATGAAGAAGACACTGTGGGGAGAAGATGGAGGAAGACCCCAAGGATGCCATCGTTCCTGCTGGTCCTTTATCCTTTTGCAGCTCTTTGTGTTTCTATTTTGGAACCAACTGCCCAAGAAAGAAAAAAAGAAAGATAAAGGATATGTTAGAACTAGTTAAAAATCGACAGGTTCCAATAGATCAAAAGTTAGGTGCCTTGTCCTTAGATCGTGAGTGGGCCCAACTCTTTTCTTAAAATTTTCTTACAAAAAAAAAAGGACTAGTTAAAAATCAACGAAGTATAATTTGGGCCTTCGTAACAAAAGTCCGGTTCATGTAGCCCTAGGACAAAAATATTCATAATTCTCATTGGAAATGGGGGATGTACCTGACATTCTGACAATGTTTGGGACCAGATTTTCTTTGATAAGAGAACATCTGCACTTGTTTTCTATATTTATATTAAATTCTAAACTAAAATGATTTCATTCATTAATTAAGTTTTTTACAATCAACTAAATTCATTAAGATTTTTGCTATCATTTATCAATTAAAATAACCTTTTGTCATGGTAAAAAATATAAAAAATTATATTTAAAAATTTAATCATTAATGATATATTAGGACTTTATTTACTATTATTAGGTGATTAATCTTTACTTTACAACCTAAAATATTATTTAGTCATGATTAGATCAAATTGCCTGATTCCATTTCTATACTTCAGCTTTCTTTTTAAATATCTTTTCATATACCCTCAAATATTCCGTAATATCTCTTTATTTAAATAATCTAATTAAAAATATCTTTCAATAGTCCAATTTATATACTCCTTTGGTCCTATTTATAACACACTTCTAGCATATTTTACATAGATCAATAAAAACCTTAAAATACATTAACTCCATTAAAATATAATAATTTTTCAACTTTACCTATATTTAAAATATAAACCTTTTAAAAGAAATAACCACCTACACTAAATAAACGAAGGACAAAATAATACATTCATATTGAAAATTTAATGAAGTGATTTATAAATAGGATAAAAAACTTTCTCTCTGCCCTATAAATAGGATCAGAGGAATATTTTAGTCGGATCTATCCCCATCTATCATTTTTTCCATTATTATCTTTTTGAGTTTTCAGATTAAATTGGGTTAATTTTTGCAGAATAGTTCTCATCAGATTTGGATGCATGAGTAACTTGCAAGTGGCAAATCAAGATCAACACAAATATAAATTGAATGATGGCAACGACACATATAAGGACCTACATACTACTTGTAACACAAACACGCACCTCATGAAAATTGTTTATCTTTAAATCGGTTAAGCAGGAATGTGAACGTGTATTGAGATAATGTTAGACTTTCCATCAGATATGAAAATTTATCTTATTTTTCTAAAATTTTTTATTTACTGAAAAATTGTTAAAACTCTCACAGTCTTAATGATTAAGAAGGTGATTAACCTACTGAATAACATTAAAAAAGATGCCTGAAAATCAAACAAAATGATTGAATTGGGCACTTCTTAATTAATTAGAAAAAATAATTTTATACATCTGTTTTGAGGAAAAAAATTAAAAACAAAAACAAACAAATCTTATAATTTTCTAAAAAATTTTAATTAGAAAAATAACTAATTATGTTTTTACTTGCTTCAGTCATTTAAAAAAATTGTGCAAGAAGTTCATATTTACTCAAAATTTTTATTTACTGAAAAAAAAAGTTAAAACTCACAGTCTAAATGATTATGAAGGTGATTAACTTACTTTTTTTTTTTTGATAGCATCAAGAAGGTGATTAACTTACTGAATAACATCTAAATAAGATGCCACAAAAGCAAACAAATGATTGAATTGGGCGCTTCTTAATTAACTAGAAAAAATAATTTTATAAATCTGTTTTGAGGAAAAAATTTAAAACAAAAACAAACAAGTTCTTCTATTTTCTAAAATTTTTTAATTAGACAAATAACTAATTATGCTTTTACTTGCTTCAGTCACTAAAAAAAATTGTGCTAAAAGCTCATATGGCAAAAAAAAATCCGGCACAGCCAGAATTGAAGATGTATGCTTTAAATAGTTCAGGCCAACATACACTATGGATCATCAAATCAGATAAAAGCAATTTCAAGAACAAGTTGAATGTGTTCACATTAGGATGAAAGAAATTCGTCATTGATGAGTTGTCTGAAAAAAATGACATAGTGACATTTAAAAAATGAGAATGGATCAAGTCAACATCAACGCACATGTTTATCGATGGGATAAAGATGTTCATGATTATGTTGAAATAGTACCTTAAACTCTGTTGCATTGTAATCAATGTAAGGGAATCAAACGAAAAAAAAAAAAACACAAAGAAAGTTTGTTGTAAGAGGATTATTTCATGTTTTGAAAAGATAGTAGTTGGTGAATAAAATTTATTCTTGTTGGTTTTAATATTGTAACATGAAAAGGCCATGGCTCAAGGTACCTGTATTTTTCATATATTTCGTAGATGGGCAATGGTTGTTCATTGGATTTGACAGAATTTAGCATAGGCAGTATTATTTGTCTTGTATGGGTATTGTATTTTACTTTAATTGATGTTTATTCTATTGCAATTAATATATTTTTTTGATTATGTCCTTTTTTGCCTCACTAAAAATGGAGAAAAGCACTCATGACTGTGGGTCAAGTGAGAGAAATTCGACATTTTTAAACAAGATTTCAAATTTCCAGAATAAAAATAATTATACCAACAGGACTCTATCTATTCAAGGTATAACATGGAAGGAATAACTCTCATGCGAAAAAGTTCAGAGGTAACAGACTTTAATAATAGCAGAAACTATTTGCTTACATGAAATAGTCCATCTCTTGTTGTACGATATCAATACTGCATCAGATTATTCTGTGGATCCAAAACGCACTCATCAAAAGCTTGAATGGTTTTAAGACAATTGATTGATATAAGATTGTTAAACTTGTGAGTTTAAGCAAACTTGTGATAGGATTTAAATTCAAATTATAAGTTTGTAAGAGTTTACTTTTATTAATAAATTGATATTAAAAGTATATAATTAGATAATTAAAATATAAAACATGACGACAATTTCATTTAGATATATTTTAAATTCAGATAATTAAAATTAAATTCATCAGTGTTCATAATTCACCATATTCAACAAAGAAATTTTTATAAAATTTATATACAAAGCCACTAAACATAACTAAATAAAAAAAAATTTAAAACGAGTTTAAGAATGAATTGACATGATTTAACAAGTTAAAAATGTAAAAACAGTAAATTCAGTGAACTCATAAGTACAACCAAATTTATAGCTATAACAAGTTTAAGAGCAAGTCGACACAATTTTATAAACCACAAACGTAAAAACATTAAACAACTCGGAGAATCAACTCAGGAGTTTATTAATAATACTTGATATAAGACACTTGATCTTGCCTTCGGCTAATCAGCTAAAGGGGAACGTGCTCGACAGTGGCAAGGAAATCTGCCCCAAACCGCGTAATAATGGTTTACTGGATTCTCAATTGAAGGCAAATTAGGAATAGGTAGCCCATAGCGGAAGAGGAGAAACTGATAATAACTGGCGTAGAAAGATGTCTCAGCACAACTCTTAAATGAACAGACTATTTGGCACAATCATATCAAACTTAACATTACGCCCCCCACCTTGTCAGTGTTAAGCGATTCTGATGTTGAAAAGAGAAGTCACATGATCATATCTTTATCCTAAAGCCACAAACTGATGAGTTTGAATTTTGAAGGCCTGCACTATCACTTCACGAGGCTCAATTTAGCAATGGATGAATGGAATGGGATTTTGCCATGCCATCAACTTCACATAAATCATAAATTATTTAATTTGACGATTTAGTTAAGAAACGTTAATCCTCTCTAACGAGACCACAAAAATTAAGAAGTAACAAATGATCCCATCTAATTTCACAAGTATAAAAGACTATGATCTGAAGATTGCAAGTTAAAAGTAAAGCTATTTCACATTCAGCACCATGTTGACTATAGAATACTGTTCATTGATGCCAAAGGCATATTAAACTTGATAATTACAACTACCAGAAGTAGGAGACCTGCAGAATGAGGACAATTCAAGAAAGTTAAAGCGTTCTAATTGTATAAAGCAAAATACACTGTACATTGTTCCAACTGTTGCAGCAATAAAAACTGAAAGTGAAGCATCTCACCATTTTTCACGTCAGCAACTTTTCACTTCTTTTTCATACAGAATGTCGGAAACCTTTCTTTAACTTTCTACGGAATGGCCTGCATGCCTCAATACTCAGGTCAACGGCGGCAGCGAGTGCCATGAACATGGCAGCATCCTCCACACAAGTCACATGTCTCATGGCCAGTTGAACTAACGGCCTGCTGCGCTTACCTTCACCTTGAACTCTACAGCTCATCACAAAGCCTCCTATTATGGGGCTTAGAGCGCCGAAGTCTCCACTGCTTTGTGGGCTAGGTATTGGACTTGCAGTTGAAACTACACTTTTCATCTGTTTTTCGGTGTCTATGTAAAATTCCCCACCCTTTTCCGCATTTATATGTATTTCAGGCATAAGAAGTTCTCCTCCTTCGTGTGCTTCAGAAAAAAGACGGAATCGAAAGCAAATCGAGTCTCTAAGGCCACGCTCACGCCATGCTTCAAGCTTTCCCCATGGCTGCCAGCTCTCCGATCTACAAGCATCAGGACGAACAATCAACCAAGCTCCTGGGTTTGATTTGGCAACCCAATCACAACCTGTTGACGGCACAAAGGGAGTTGTTATGAAGGCTGCTGCAACAGCCGACCCAGAAAGATCATGTATCTTCACCTTCCATCCCTTTCTCTCTCTCCTCTCCATCTCCAAGTCTGAACTCTCACTGGATTTAGACCAGTAATTGCTTAACGGGTCAACCTGGGATACCCTGTCATTTCATAACTATCAAAAATTTCATTAATAACTAGTTTTTGACGTTTGAAAAAATTGGAAAAATAAATAAGTCCAATGACCAAAGGAAGTGGGGAAAAAAAAAAGCGCAGAGGAACTGCCAATGTGATTAGGCTTCCCTTGGAAAAGGAGAATTACTTTAACTACCATTACATGGACATTTATGGTATCAATATTATGATTGTAGATGTCTGTGTTTCAGAACGTTGATAAAAAAAGAATTTAAAAAAGAAGAGTCTAATTAAATCTAGAAGCAGCGGAGCCAAGGTTTTTCTTAAATAATAACATTAGTAAGAGCACCAACAGACTGCAAATTCAAAAGACAGTTATATGAAGTTACATCAACGCAAGGATTAAATGCAAGAAAAAGTAAAGCCCAATGAATATATTAATAGATTTCTCTCTTTGGAAAAAAAAAAAATTAATTTGGGAAATACCTTTTCCCACGCAGTAAATTTGCATGGCACACGACTGGATACACCTCAAGCAACAGGAAAGATTTTGGAAAGATTGGGATCATATAAATCCATGAATTTGAACACAAACCTATCTTATGCAGAAAGAATAGGCTAAGGCTTTAAGGAAGCTATCAAAGATTAAGACATTAATTGGATGTAATATTAGATCACAAATTTCATATCACCTGTCCTTGTCAAACTTGCAACTGAAGATTGGCTGCTTAACGGATCCTCGGAGCTGAACTATCTGAGGACTCAATGTTGTTACATCTTCAAACTGGAAGACATATCTGGGATCAGGGTCTAGTTTCACTCTTACATGCAGCTCTGCCCCTGGTTTTCCAATCTCCTGTTTGTTTTTGCCAATACCTTTCCACCCATTAAAGAGAATCAAAGGCTTTCCTTCACCCCATTCAGGGCCAACCTGCATTCTAAATATCCCAATTTGCTGCCTCTTGATGCCAACACCACAATGTGACTCCTTCCTGCCAGTAAATACAGCAATCTCCAAACAAGCATGAGGATTATAGAAGCAACCAGGAGCCAACAGTGCTTTTAAATCAGATTCCTCAAGGTAGAAGCTTGAAGCATTGCTCTGAGTATCAGGTATGGCTTCAGGAGAAGATATTAAGGGGACCATTGTTGTCTGAACAGGAAAACCTCGAAGCCGAATCTCACAAACACAGGGCAAAGAGAGTCTATGAATTCCATGTTTCTCAGTATTCAGACCTACCCCAGTAAATCTGAGCCCCAGTGAGTCTATTGACAACCTGATGAAGGCCTGGGGATCCATAGTAATCACAATTCTACCCCCATTGTATCAAAATCCCTACTTTTCAAAAGACCCTGTGATACAAGCAGCGACAATTTAGTCATGAACAAACAAATTTAAGATTGCAATTCACAGAAGGATGGAATGAGAAAGAAATAGCTAAGACATATTAACATACGACATGAACTTAAGTCTTTCAAACATTCTAAACAAAGTTGAGCAAGAAAAAGTGCAAAACTTTAAAGAAGCTAAGAACAATTATCTTGAAAAAAGGAAAGTTAAGAACAAAAGGCAGCTCCCGCCTTCTAGATTATGGCTCTTGTGAAGCTAGCGCATGTGAAAGCATAAATTAGAAAGCAGTCAAGAGGAATTTGACAGAATGCATCGAATGGGCTTGGCAAATAATGGGGACAAGCTGTGCAACCCTGTGCTGCAGATACTAGCAAAAATAGAGTCAGGGTGAACATTTATGATAATCACATAACATAAATATCAAAATTTGTCAAAATATCAATGCATGACTATAGAAGTGTTGTTAAAATAGGATGAAAAAAAACATTATGTTTCAGACAAAACGCTGGGCTTGGGAAAATTCACAAAGTTGTACTTTAGCAATTAAAATCAGTATGCATAATGGCCATTAAACTATTTGAAACACAGACTCAATGGTCCTATCTCCGGTGAGACAAGTAACTCAAGTTAATACTAAAATCGATACAAAATGAGATGAGTAGCTCAACTTAGCATTAAAATCAATACAAAATGGCATTGACCTTAGTAAACACTGACAAGTATTTGACGACACATTCAAGGAATTCAATATGCGAGATGGCCCGTAGGAATCAATACCTAGTTTTTTGAAACACAAACTGTCATCTCTTGAACTAGAGTCGAGTAGCAACTCTTTAAATAACATATTCAAGCAAGAAATTCCTTGTACATACGAAAAAAGTACAAAGAAGAACAAAAAACAGATAAAATTGCAGATCATACAGCATTTACATCAGAGGAAGGGCATCTGATTGAAGAATAAAATGACATGCTCAACTTTTATATTGGATTTGCCCAAAGTAGGCTGAAAGATTAAGGCCTCTCTTTCTCTTTGGCAAAAGTCTAAATCAAATGCAAGATTTATACAATATATTTTCCTCGGACGACGATTATTAGTCAATTTTGTTTGCTCAAATAGTTTGAAGTTTAAGGAGTTTCAGAATTAGGACTATCAGCACCCCATCAATCCATGTGTGGTGCTAAAAATTACCATGGCTTTTCTGGGGACCCAAAACACTTTGCGATAAGAGGGGCCTACTGAAAACTGCACGTAAATGTTGACTGGAAAGCTAACCAGTAACCATAAAGCAACAGAGTCAGCTACCAAAGGAGAATAGAGGAGCTAAGACATAGAACTGAAGAAATTGTCTCGGGTAAACTAAGAGACATAGACACTGGGACCCGACATAATACAGATACCGTGACATAACAACACACGCGCACACAGAGTGTTGTGATCACCAAAAAAAACAGTGTACATAATGTGTGAGCGAGAGCAAGTGAGCCATCTACAATTACTTCTAGCACAAGGGAAGTTGGGAACGAAAGCAATCACTCATGATCGTTACAGAACACAAATGAAAGATTTAGATGATTCCATCTAACTCGTGTGTAGCCGATAATTAGATTTAACAAAAGCAGTTAACGAAAGAAAGAAAGGAACAAAAGAAAAGTCAAAGTCAGTTCTGAAAACAGGTAGCAACAAAATGTAAAAACAGAACTCACCGAATTGGAGGGCAATGTACGAAGCTTCTTCGAGCTTAAGCAAAAGGCCCAATTCAGCGCAGAAAAAGCAGTGAGAATTTGTTCTGCTTTACAGACAAAAACATCAAACACCTGAAAAAGAAAGAGGAAAGAGAAGGAATCCCAGAAAAGAACCGAATTATAAGGTGAGAGAGACTTTCCAAATCCAAACCCAAAACCCAATTCTCAATTTTTCCACTACCCACTCTCCAAAACTATCAAACGGGGCAATTTATTTTGCAATCCTAGCAGAGATTGGTTGAACAACAAATCAAAAGATAAAAGACGACAAGACCAAAAACCAAGAAAAAAAACCCATAGCCACAATTATTGATGATAACTACGTAGATTGTGCACCGATCACGAGGAGATCCATTCCCAAATTCACTGAACGCTTCGCGCAATCTCTCTTTCTCTCTCCTTGTGGGAACACTTGTGTTTTCCTTGCGGTGTGGGAAAGGAAGAAAGCAGGAAGGCAGGAATTAATAATTATGGGGTATGCACTATTTTGTCACGAAACAGACGGCAAAAGAAAGGGAGGAAAACAAATAAATATAAAAAGATTTAGGATAATTTTCATACAAAAGACATGGAAAAGTATGTTGAAGAACAGTGAGAGATTGAGACGAGGCATGTGGTAGATGGAATCATAATTAATAAAGAATTTATTTTTTTATGTGGAAGTGGAAATTATGAGTTGGAAATGGAGAAGAGGGAAGGAAAGAAAAGAAGTAGATGAGGAGGAGGGAAGTGAGGAAGAGAGTCAAGAGAGAGAGAGAGAAGGAGAGGTCGTGAATACAGCTGTAACCAAAATACGATGCACGAAACAAAGCAGAGAATCGCTTTCAGATACATATGCCTGACTTCATCCATATGATCTTTTATTTTATTTTATTTTATTTTTTTCCTTTTCAATTTTGTCTTTGTGTGCGCGAATCTAATAATCTAATAAGTAATAATAAAAGAAAAGGATCAAATAGCATTAAGGGGGCTGAATTTTGTCAAAGGTTAATCCTTCATAATTAACTAAGATTTTGAATTTTTATTGGAGAGTTTATCATGAGTTTCCCATTGGGAAACGTTTATTATAAGGTTTATAAGTTTATAAGGCTTCTTTTTTTTTTTCCATAATAAGCTAGTTTTTTAGAATATGACTTTTCTTTTAGATTTATACTTATTATATTGATGCTTTTATGGATAATTGGCCAATCAGACAAGGCTACCTGCAGAGCCACTGAGAACGTTGACGTGTTGTAGAGTTTATAAGTTTAAGAGACTTTTTTTTTCCCTAACATGCTAACAATGCTTCAAATATAATTATCTTCAATTAGAATATACATGTATTGAACCCCAAAAAAAAAATCATGTAGCATTTTACCTCAACCACTGATCCGATCAAGTCACTTGTCACTCATTTTTATATACTCATCTGGTCCTTAATATAAGGTCTAATTATTGAATTGGTTTTGGTCCTAAATATAAGACCGATTTTTATATTTATTAATTTTCTCTAAATTACCTTTATGGATACTCTCTCAACCATAATCAAGTAGAAGAGGAAGATGAGGTATAAAGAAAGATGATTATAATATTTTAGGAAACACATGTCACATTTCTTATAATTAACTAACTTACCTAACTTCTTTAATATAATCAAATTAGTTAAATAGGTCTTATATTAAGCACAGAAGAAGTATATAAAAAATACATTGTTAAAATTTTCAGACTCTGGCCATTTGCAAATTATTCTCATCCCTGTCTCTTTCCGTTTTCTCTCTTTCAGCAAGAATTAAATAAGAATAAATTGAAAAATATCATTAACTACCCAATAAATTACTTATATTTAAGATCAAACATCTTCCCTAAAAGTAACTTATAAGGATGAGAGTGGTAGTAAGAAACATTTGTCATCCTAAACTATTTATTGAAATAAAAACCCTTTTCAAATGTTAAAATTATTCCAAATATTGTCCTTTAACTTATAAACATTACCTTCATTATTAATTTTATATTAATTTTAGGTTAAAAGTAACCGGTATAACCTGAGGTTTAATTATGTTGAGCATTTTTTTTCTACCTTTTTAATGAAACGGGGCTAAAATGTCATACATCTTGCGAATTAGGCATTCATAGACTTATTTTCACCGATGAATGGTTAGTTGGCAAGTCATATGGTACCGCTCTGATTCTAAGTACAAATCCCTTAGAGGAAAGTTTTGATCTTAACTATAAGTGACTTGTAATATATTTAATATTTATTTTTTAATTTTAATTTTATTTAATTCTTATTAAAAAGAGATAAATAATAGAAAAATAAGAGAATGATTTATAAATGTAGAGAAAGAAAGAAAACTTTAATAAAAATAAAATTAAAAAATTTTGTCAATTTAATATATTTCTTAATGTGCGAAAATATGTTAGTGACTTATATCAAGCATCGAGATATGATACACCAAGTTTCCTAAAAAAAAGGCGTTAATTGCTATCGATTACTTAAAGTTACTGAACAATTAACGTCAAAGTTTATTAATCAAAAGCCAACATTGCTTTAATACAAGGTCTAATTGCTTTAATAAATAGTTTAAGATAATCACTAGCTACTCTTTGCAAAAACAATTTAAAGACGAAAATGCCCATTAATATGGTAAAAATATAAAAGCTAAAATATATATTTGGTCCTTTAACTTTATATAAAATTTTAATTTAGTTTTTTAATTTAAAAAAATACATTTGGTTATTTAGTCCTAAAATTGTTGGCTTAAATGATTTTTTTTTTGGGTAACATTCATAATTGTTTTGAAAATTCAACTTAATATATTAACATTTGAGAATATTTTATCAAGATTTAAGAGCATAATGTCATCATTTTTTTACAAATAATTTTAAGGTTAAAGAATTAAAAAAATACTTTTTAAAATTAAAGGACTAAATTAAAATTCTCTATAAAATTAAAGGACTAAATATAAATTTTAGTCAATAGAAAAATTATCTTATTCATATATATATATATATTTCTCCACACTACCTCATCTTCTGGGCACAATATACACGAGTAACACGACTCTTTAAAAGTTTTTGTGGCCATTAATATCAGATTTTTCATTAAAAAACTATGGTAGTCTTATTATTCAGGATAACATTTTAAAATACATAAAATCATGAAGCATGTCCTTCTAACATCTCTGAAGTGCAAAATGTTGGGTTTGACCCTTCACAAGCTTGTTAAAGATTGCAGGTTTGACCTTTTATGGGCGTATTGGATGCATAAAATCTAAAATAAATCACAATATTTACAAGTTGTGAATAATTCAAATAAATAGAAAGAGATGGATATTCCTTTATATGAATTAGAACGGTATAAATGTAATGATCACATCAAATAATTTCTAACCATTTAGAGGCTATGGCATGACTCAAATTTAGATTACTTGATGACATGGAGTGCTTATTATTTAAAAGCAAATAAAATATTGTATTAATTATTTTCATTTTCAAAAAACTTCTAACTCTGGACTCGGATTAACTCAGGTGATTAGAAATCGGACAAATATGGTAATGATTAAGGGTTTAATCAATGAAGAAAGTTGAATTACCATGGTCGGCCTGGAAGTTCTAAACAAAGAAAATTTTGTGAATAACTATCATGTAATTTGAAGATAACGCGGAAACTTTTGACATTTTTGAAAGAGTCCTTCCTATGACTCCTCTTTTTTTTTTTTTTTTTTCATTTTTTGATTATGAGACTATATGGCAAAGTTTTTCTTTTTTGGGTAAAACTATCTCTAGTCTTTAATATAAGATCTTATTTAACTTTTATTTCGGTCCTAAATATAAGACCCTAATCCATTTTGTTTATCATATTTATGTATTTTTCTTTCAAGATAATCCTTCTAACAATGGTAGTTCTAGTCAATATATTTGATTACCAAAAATATTTTAAGAACGACAACACTTATTTATTACAAACAACTAACTTAACTTCTTTTCCTAATCTCCTGAAATTAGTTAACTAGCTCTTATAATTAGGACTGGAGGTAGCAGTTCGTATGGCTAAGTTAATTTCAAAGCATTCTTTAAAAGTAGATCATCATTTTGGTTTTTTAGGGCTACTTTCTATTTTGGTCAAAACTTTAGAATCACTTGTAGAACATACTTGCATTTCATTTTGATGTTATAATTTTTTTGATATTTCATATCATTATATTTTATACCGCTATTAGATTAGGTTAGATTAGACTATAGAGCTTATCCAAATTTTACAATTTTTTTCAACAATACGCACACTAATATTACTTAATTTTTCCGAATCAATATACACTTTTCAGAAACATATCAATATAATAACCGGAGAATATTTTAGACAAAACTTCTAAAGTTAAATAGAACTATAATATGATTTTATTGAAAAAAATATATTTAAAAAATAACAACAAATTCATACGATTTTAACAAAATTATCTTTTAAGAAAATATTTATGCAATTACTCTTGACTCTTGAGAAGCAGCCATGGTAATATCTTTCCTGCTAATACTTGGAATGCCTCTCTAAATTACAGAGTAGGAAACAGAAATTAATATGAAAAACAAAAAAAGATATAGAAAGTCATATTATCTGTATTATGTAAATATAATAAATCCTGAATAATATGATTTATCCCAAGTTTTGTACTAAAGCATATAATCTACTTTAATTATTATTAAAAAATGACAAAAATTAATTAAATTAGCATTAAAAATTAATAAAATTAATGAAAAAAATCTGATCGGCTAGAGTCCAGCCAAATTGTCCAACAAGATTTTCATGGTTCACAAAAAAAAAAAAAATTCAAACATAGAAATGTTGTCGCGTAGACGTCTCACTTATCACCCATTTTATCTAAATCTAAATTTTATAAGAAAATTAATAAAATGAAAAAATATCGTCCTGACCTGTATTAAAAAAAACAAATTAATAAGGAAAGGGATATTAAAGACAAACCACGCATAAGGACAGTTAAAAATAAATGGAAAAGACAAAACATACACTGGCATATTTGAATATTTGCCAGGTTCTTTTACTAGTTTTTTTTTTTTTAAATTATGTGCAATGTACGTGACCTACATTATTTTTCGCATGATTTCTTACTGATTTAATCACTGTCGATGCTTGAAAAAAAAAAATATAATTTTATTTTATAGATAAAAGTTTAGATATGAGTTTGGTCTCAAGAATTTATCAGATTCAAAATAAAAATATTTATAAACTTCTCAGTAATCCAATTTTCATACCAATATATTTAATTATGTGACCCAACTCCTCAGACCAACTTTTATTGAGAAGAATAAAATTATTTCGGCACACATGTACGTATTTGCCAATATTAATGTGGTCTTTATTTTATTATTTTAATTGAAATATGTTTAAATAATTTTGTGTGGAATGGAAAAATTTAGCAACGGGCTTTTGTGAACGGAGCGATGAGATCATGCTTTCACATTCCTGCTCGTCCAATAGTTAAGTTCGGATCCGCTACAAGCCCATGGTGAAGCCATTTACACGTGGAAGCACTTATCTTAGAATCCATGGATATGGGTTGAGTTTAGCAAAATGAGTATATCATAACAAGATAAATTAAACTTTGAATTTTTATTAGAAAATATGTTTATATTTAGTACTCAGTAATATTTCAAATAGAATTATCTTTAATAGATGAATAACCGTACTTCTCCAAAACAAAAAGAAAAAGAAAATATGAAAACTATTGAATTGAGTGGTCAGATAGTTCATATTTAATATATGATAATGTCTTAAATAAAATTATTTTCAATAAGAAAATATTTGTAATTCACCAAAAAAAAAAAAAAAAGAAAGCATGAAGGCCATTGAATTGGGTGCTTGTTTCAGCATTTTTGGGATCTAGTTGAGAAGGCTAAATCCCTTTTGTGTAGGGACTGAGCAGTGGTGGTAAGGAATTTACCTAAAGATAAACTTGCTAGTGCTGACAAGCTTGCTAAATAGATAGTTTAATAAACACCAATCATCTTTATGATACTGTTTGGTATAAGAAGGAAAAAAAAGAGAGGAGAAGAAAAATTTTAATAAGTTCTATTTAAAAAATTAGAGAAGTATAATTTTGACATTTTTAATAGAGAAAAGAAGTAATATAAAAGAGTAATAAAAATCAATTAAAAGTTTTTAACTCCACTTTTTTAATTTTTTTAAATCAAGTTTATTAAAATTTTCCTTCCCCTTTCTTTTTTTAATTTTTCCTCATACCAAATGGACCCTATATGTTAAGATGGAAAGTGATGATGAAGGCCAGCTAGTTAGAGGAGGGTTTTTGTTTATTTTGTAGTTCATTTTTCTTGTTTGTCTTCTGTTTGATGTGTTAATAAAAGCTTCAGTTTCCATTAAAAATAAGTGCTTGTTTGGCTTTCCTGAAAAAAAAAAAAACAGTTTTATATGTTATGAGATAAATTTTTTCTTCCATATTTATTTAGTATCATCATACTCATGTGCATGTATGCCAACCCACTACGATATGATATGCTACAAGTAAATATTTATAAAAAGAAATGAATTTCATTTTAGGACTCAAAATCAATAAAATCAAACTAAACCTAATATTCTCAAGACTGCTTTTGGTGTAAATTATGACAGCTCGACAAATCTCATAAGTTAAATCGAAGGAAATGGAAATCACAATGGTAAATTATGAAAACTTTATAAGAGATAGTTGAGAATGTAATCCAAGCATATTGAAAGTTATGATTAGTTTATCTTTTAGCTTTTACAAATTGGCTTTTAAATTTACAATTGATTTTTTACTTACAAAGCTTTTTATAATTTATGGTTAATTTTTAGTTCAATTTCCCATTTTATAATTGAGCTGCATGCTGATCATATAAGAGGCTTTTGGTTAATGAAATGTTTAAAAAGACTTGTATACTGTAAAGGTTAGAATGAATATTTAAATTAAAAGATATATTAATTGGAAATTCAAAGTCACGGCAAAAATTTTTTATACCCAGGACAAATTACAAATTTTGTAATTTCAAAAATCTCTTTAAAATTCGAGGAATAAAATATATTTTTTTCTCTGTAGTGCGGTATAATTTAAAAAGAGAAAAATGACAAAAAATCATCAAAATAGAAAAATTATAAATTAAAACTCATGACCATAATATCGGTTTTGATAATAATTTTTATAAATGGATCATGTATGTAATTTTTTTTATTTCAACAGTTTTATTTTACAATTTTTTTTAGAAAAAGAAAAAGAAAAAATTTGTGAACGAACCGAAGGGCAGATAGGAGAATCACCGAGGGAACACGGAATCCCTCATGCCTCCTGAGTGCTGAGAGCCTCTGATTTCCTGCGCGCGCAAGAACGAAGCTTCGAGACTCTGCTTTGTTGAATTCGAATTCGCTCGCTGTGTCTGCATCCCTCGTCTCGGGTATGCGCCTGTATATATTATCTGTCGGGCATGTATTTCTGTTTTCGCTAATAATTTGAACCATTTGCTCGGTTATTGTTCAGCTTATGCTTTAATCTCTGCAAATTATACTGTCCTACCGTTTCTGCAAATGCGTCTCATCAATGGTGGAATTTTAGTTCAGATTGAAACAATACACTCTGTATCTCTGGCAGGTTGTCCCCAAGATGAACTAAAGTCCTTCACGATAATTTATTCTTTGTGGGTTTGATTTTGAGGTTACCAGAGTTTTGAATCAAAACCCTAGTGGAAGTGCATCATCAGTGTCTTCATTGGGTTTCCTGTACATTGTAGGACATAAAGGATACCTAATGAATCTGTTAATTCCTAATCTTCCACAACAGCTTAATTTCTCTGGATCTTTGTCAAGTTCAGGCTGTCTTTCCCTCCATGAAAAGCTTTCTCATCTTTCCCTTTCTCACTCTCCCATTGTTACACCCAAAAGGACAGTCATTCGTATGGGTGGGGGACCTAGGACTTACCCAGGAGGTGTGTCAAAATGGCAGTGGAAGAGAATGCAGGCCAAGAAAGCCAAACAGCTGCTAAAGGCCCGGCTATGCCGTGAGCGACAGATATATGAAATGCGCAAGAGGGCAGAGCTGAAAGCTGCGGTTTCTGAGCTTGAGAGACCATGGGAGGTTGTTGAGAGAGCCCCGACCTTATTTTCAGTTAAAGCAGATGAACAATTGAAGGTGTTGGCTGATAGGTTTCAGAAACCTGGTGGGTTTGATATGTGGTCTGAGAGAGATGGACCGCAACTGTTTGAAACCCCGGATGAGTTGCCTTCTGCAAGATTTTTTCCCAAAGGGGTTGTCCACAGCATTAGACCTTACAGGAGAATCAGCGATTCAGAGTTAGATCATATTGAAGGGGGTTCAGAATCAGAAGCTGACGAGGATGTTTCAGGTAATGAGGTGAGCAAGATAACACACAGATCATCCAGAAGAAAATTTAGAGGTAGGTCCTCTGGAGGAGGGGAGACTGAGGGAGGGGACTTATCGGATCAGGAAAATGGACCATATTCTGGGAACTCTTCTTCAATTAACTCAGTGGAGTCTTTGACCAATAAGAGGCTTAATGGAAAATTGAGGAAGAAGGGGAATAGAAGAAAGAATTTTTCTAGGAATCTAGATGGTTCAAATGGATATCTGGGGAGAGTTGAGTCTGAAAGGAAACAGAGAGGGAATAGTTCCTATCCACATCGTCGTAGTGGCTACTATAAGAGGGTGACTTCACCCTATGCTTCACCAGAGCATGAAGATGCAGAGTCTGAAGTTTATGATATGAGTTTGCAACGAGATGGGAGTTATGGGTTTACGCAGAGTGGTGCATCTCACCCAAATTAGGGGAAAGAAGCTTCATTATCAATCCATACATTCTAAGTTAGAGATGAGTTTTGATCTGGCAAATGGGTTGTATAAGGAAAATGTACCCTTTGTTAATGAAAATGTATTACTTTTTTTTTTTTTAAATAATGTTTTTAGTTTGGTTACTTTATTATATTTTCGACGACAGCCCCGCCGATAACAATACTTTCTGGTCTGCGTAATTACAAGTTAAATACAATCATTTTGTGATGTAGAAAGAAGTTGGGAACAGGGAAGAGGAGGCGAAGAGGGAAGAGAATCGGAGAGAGAGGAAGAGGGAAACTAGAGGGGAACAGAGAGTGAGAGAGAATTAATTCATTCAATCTGATAAACTGAATACAACTAGCTCTTCTGCCCTTATTTATAGACTCTAGTATGTAGACCCTCTTAACTAGCTAACCCCCTTTTTATTTATTCATTACATAACATTTTGCTGAAAATGTAAATATCAAGTTTGGCTGAACTTCAATTTTGATATCAATATATATTTTAAAATTTTCCTTATAATCAAGGCTTACTTGCATGGTCATGTAAGTATGTGATTAATTAAAGTTTTGACATATTTAACTTTAAAGTTAAATTGGTTGGCATGTCATAAATATGGGATTCACTGCATGGGGGGTTGCTATTTAAGTGTCATGTTTCAACCATACTGGTTCATGTACTAAAAGGATGTAGGTTATGCATCATTAAATAGTACAAAATAATTTTTGTCCTGGGTGGATGAAGAGGTTGGTGTGCTTTATAAATCCTGCAATTATTGTACCAACTTTTGCCTGCTAGTTTGCTGGGATTTGGTTTTCTCTCAATAAATTCTGCAGAATGGGATCTTGTTGACAGTATAAGCTCAATTTCTTAAATTGTATCCGTGAAATTTCGTAGTAGACCAGCTGGGTTCTCATTGATATTGTCAGAAATGAGTAGTTTCTTAGAATGTCTGTTGTCATCAATTTTTCTTCCAAGAGGGAATATGCAATTTGGTTTCTGCAAAATTTGCCTCCTTCTGAATAAGTTCTTAGATTTATTCTTCTGTACAACTTTGTCATTCAAAATTTGTAACTTGCTAGTTGCAACACATGTATTGACATTGTCCATTAAAGTATGTTCCCGTTTTGGTCCCCTAGACAGAGAAGCATGTAATGAGTTACAAACTTGAAGTGGGGAAATCCAAGTACTGAAGTGTTGTCAGGCACGCCTCGCAGGGATGTGTTTGTGTGTGTGAATTGTGAAATAACTATCTTTGCGTGTGTTCGCGCTGTTCAGAAAACTTGCTAGAAGCCAATGGCATTGCGGCTTTGTGCTACGAAAAGAGGTTGCAAGTTTCGATCTTGCATGTAATCTTAAATTGAAAAGATCAGTTTTCATCTCATCGTAGAAGCACTGAAACCCAATTTGAAGTTATGCACAAAGTCTAGAAGAGGCTTATGTGAACGCACAAAATCAAAACATGAGAAACATTATTACATCAAACAGCTCTTTGTATCAATAATAAGATAAATGTCATGCCATATACAAAGTGTTATGGCTTATTTTAGATAACTTATTAAGCAATCAGTAAGAGAGAGCAGACATGCATCAGAAGATGAAGACGATGAAAGGCCAGGCCAGTACTCTCTTATCATTGCACATATAAGATTATTTGGGGAAGTGTTTCTGTTCACTTCCAACCCTTGAACTTGCCACCATGCTTTCCATATTTGCCATGCTTGAACTTGCCATGGCCATGACCGTGACCATAGTAGCCTCCATGAGTGTAGTAGCCACCAGTTCCATGACCCAAATGGTGCTGACCCCCACCATAGTATCCAGTGCCTCCATGACCATGATGGTACCCTGTTTGTTTTCCCATAAATCGAGTCAAAAAGGTCCACATGTTTATAAACTACGCTATATATGGGAAAAATTACTTTGCAGTTCCACATAAGCAATCTAATCATTAAGAAGTCTTTTGAGTTGTCAATATGTCATTACTTGTTATTTCCTGCAGCGGAATTTGCCATTGGCATGTTGCTCATAAACCTTTTATTGATTAATTGCTTACCAGGGATTGTATAGTACTACCTTTGATCCTTAGTATGAGAGTTAGATAACTAATTTGGAGATATTAAAGAAATTAGTTAAGTTGGTTATTTAAAACAATGCGTGTTGATTTTCCTAAATTAACCTATTTAGTTATATATATTGGAACTAGCCCATGGTGCAAACTCCTTTACAAAATAGATTGAGATTTTTTATTTAGAACCAAATCCAATTTTCTAACTAGCTCTTATATTTACGATCCGAGGTGGTAACTTTTTTCAGCATATATAGAATTCATGATTATGACTCACTTTCAACCGTCTTATTATATGATGGTAAAGAGAGTAATTAATTTGATGAGAAATATGAGAGGAAGAGATAGCAAACCTTGCTGATATGGATAAGAACCAGAATAACCATAGTTAGGTGGAGGATATCCAGACGAAGGATAAGCAGAAGGAGGAGGATATGAGTATCCCTGTGGTGGGTAGCCCCCTTGCGGAGGATATCCTCCTCCCGGTGGATATTGGTAACTCATCTTCTTTCTTTAACTTCTAGTTATTATTCTGGCCAAAACAAGAAAAATAAGTCATTATTTTCAAATCTGCAACACAAGAAAATGAAACACAATATTCTTCACTTCTAACTCTTCTATAACCCTATAAGATTGAATTCAGTGAAAGACTACGAAGAGCCTATAACACTAGATATCCTTTTGCAATTAAACGTACCGTTAGTGCCAAAAAATTTTTACATTAATTTAAAAGGCCTTTCTATGCTGGTTGTCTGGTCTTTTACAGTGGCTACGGAACGGGTGTAGAAAACTACTTTTCTGTACCGGTTTTTGCTAGTATCTATAGTGGTTAAGAAAGTGTTTTTTTGTTTTTTTACATTGGTTCTATTAGCAACTAGCATAGAAAATCAACAATTTCACATTTTAGTAGCAAAAATACTACTGGCTAAACTTTCTGTCATTTCCATAGCAATTGAGGTAAAAGGCCTAATGTAAAAAATGCTACTCCTCCGCTCCTTAATAGGAGTTAATTAGAGAGCTGATATTAGTTATATATATAAAATTTATTTCACATATTTATCAATTTTTTTTTTCAAATTAGCTCTATTGATATTCTCTTAATAATAATCAAGTAGAAAAGGGAGGGAGAGAATTAAGGAAAATACTTAGAGTGTTTTAAAAAAAAATTCATATGAACTAATTTAATTAATATCTTTAATCTACTCAAATTGATTAATTATGTCTTGTATTAAGGACGAAAGGAGCATTTTCCATTACTGTATGTCTCATGCATATTGCATGCAATGGAATGTATTCTTTTGTTAATTTCAATAAGATGAACTCTTATTACCTCTTAATAAAACCAATTCCATGAAAACATTCATAAATATATGATCATCTTTTATGTTGAGAACAATCATCTCCAAGACTATGTGCATATCAGAGGCAAGTACAAGTGATATTTTTAAAGCATATTTTAGGAAATTACAGATATTTTCACGCCAAACAACATATATTTAGTAAGAGATGTACACATAGGTGGAACCAAATCAAATATCAAACCAAGATGATGCAGCAAAACAAACAAACGTAAGTAAGGATCTAATATTTCTACTACGAAGGAAATTAAGGACTATGATAAATCATGCCTCAAACAAACAAAATTTCAGCAGGGAACCTATTTGCAAGAAACTTACTCAATTGGCTCTTCTTCGAAACCGAGTCACTGTAACCTCTGATAGCGTTCCAAGTTTGGAAGTCAGTGAACAAATTTATAAGCATTATCATATATTCTTATTCTTCATAATAATATATAAAAATATTCTTATTCAGTTATTCTTTATCTCCTGATGTTGTGAAAAGACATGAGTTGCTTCGACGCGTTTGGAATTTGTTTCTTCTAGAGCTTTAATTTGCACCATACAATTTGGAATGTAAGATGCCGTATTACTTTATTTTTTTTAATAATAAAATATTATCACGCGTACTTAGGCATATATTCTTGAAAATTATAATACGTAAGGATACGTAATTTATGAAAGCGACAATTGAAAATTTTAAAAATTATGTTTTTTAACATCAGCAAAAGATATCCCAAAAAAAAAAGAGTTAAAACAACAGGAAAGAAATTCATGAACATATATATGGGACCTTCATAACTTATGCCATTATGGTCATGAAGTCATATATATAAGTTGATAGACAATAGTCATAATTCAGCTAACATTAAATATCTTCTTTAAGACTTTTGAGCGTAAGGAGTGCGAGTTCTTAATAAAAAATATGATAGGTGCGTGGGTTATAACCAAAAAATAAACATGATAATCATAAATTATAGTAAGGTAAAGGATGACAAAGGAAAAAAAATATCATCCTTAACGAGAAGAATGAGTTTAACTTAATGTCACTGGATAAAAAAGAAGAAACTATTTGTGGAGGTCTGTTTCAGGATAATAATTGGAAAATACTACCTTTAATTCTAAATATAAGATACAATTTATAATGAAATTTGTTATATAAAGTGAATATTATATTTGAGATTGGAGACAATAGATAGGGTTAAAGGCTTGGCAATGAAGTTTTGAGTTTAATTTATGTCAAGTACAGTAACTAAAGTTATGGAGGTTCTTAGTAGTTTAAAGTTTTGTGGGGCTCAGCTTGTAAGAAGATGCAAAGAAGATGAACTAGATGTTATAAAGAAAAAAGATTAATTACCTTTGTAGTTTGTAACTTGAACATTTTATCCAGAGAATACTAACTGCATCATCTTGAATACACCTGTACGTAGTTTCTTCAAAGCATTATTTGTGAATTTTGTATAAAAAACCAGCTTAATGTTTACATCTCTTAATATTACATATTCAAGAGATCTTTAAGCATTTTCACACACGTTCATTAGGAGAGAATCTAGTTTCTTAGGAAGACCTGGAGAAAATTAATCCATTAAACTTTAAATTCTTTTTTTTGGGGGGGGGGGGGGAGGAAAAACTCTTTCATGTAGAACTCATGATAATATGCCTTATAAACCTCACTTCTCTTGAGATGACATGTCATGTACCTCAAGACATAAGGCTGATAAAAGAGCCATTTAATTTTGTTCATTTCTTTTTTGTTTTCTTTTGTCCAAGTCCAAATCATTCTTTTATGGATAAGTTGATTGTCTTGTTTTTTTTTTTTGAATAAAATACTGTATATCAAAGATTCAACATCTAGTATCTTCCCTCATCAACTGCCTCCTATCTAATGATAGGGTTGATCAAGAATACAAAAAATTATCTCTATTTGAAGGGAGGACTTGTCTAAATAGTCAGCAAAACAGATATTTCATTAGGAATGTGTCTCACCAAAATCTGCCAATCTTTATGCAAGGCTACTCTAATTTCATCAATAATATCTCTAAAAGGGTGAGTAGCATCACACGCCTTATAATCAAATTAATGGCTTTAATTAGAGTGACTGGTTACACCAAAATAGAAAAAGAATGACTGGTTTTTTTTTTGTTTGGAGTGAAAAGGAAATATATTAAAAGGACAACTGTGCAGAGTCTGCAAAAGTGCTAACATCTACTCCTTTGGTCCTATTTATAGGACAGAGAGAGAAGATTTTTTTTTTGTCCTATTTATAAGTCACTTCATTAACTTTTCAGTGTGAATGTACTATTTTGTCCTTCATTTATTATAGTGTAAATAGTTATCTTTTTTGAAAAGAGTATATATTAAATAGGGGTAAAGTTGAAAAGTTGCTATATTTTAATGGAGGGTTAATGCAGTTTAAGGTTTTTTTTTATCTATATGAAACATGTTAGAAGTGCCTTATATATAGGACCAGAAGAGTAAGCCTCAGGATTGATAGAACTAAGGAGGTCCCGAGCAGAGAAAAGAATAACTGGTTTTCATTCTCTTCAATGTGACATCAGGTTAACTTTTTTCTCATACAGGCTGAGTCGGCCCCATGTTCCTTATTCCCGTGCAAAGTTGTAGAGCCCCAGGCCCATAACTTCTTTGCTTGCCCATTTTTAAAAAGGCCCAAGAAAAAGAAAAGCAAACAACTTCCAGGTCTATTTGTCTGACCCTGGGCTACTGGTTGTGAAGGGACCCAACATACCCCACGAATCAAGATTAGCCTCCGGCCGATGTCCCCTGGGGCGGACATGACATGGCAAGCTTGCGTTGGCTCAAACAAGAGGCTGTGAAGTGATTTCTTCAAACTGAACCGGACGCTTCGGAGCCAAATCGCGCGCTCGGAGCCTTCTGTGTTTTCAACTTCTGGTTGGCAATTTTGGACCTCGCATTCAAAGTTATCTTCAAAGCTTTGACGCCTTTGATACGCTTCGCTCATGCTTTGTTCGCTTCAGCAAAATGGGTGGCCCCATCTTCGTCTCTCTTCAGAGATCGCATTGCATAACCCCGTTATCCCAAGCCTCTCGTTCTTCCTCCAGCAGCTATCGCCCCGCCGTTATTCTTCCTGTTAGTCCTGTCTCCGTCTCTTTCTATCTCTCACAAGCACTAAACACACATGCATTAAGAATTTTTTGGTAACTGGGCTCTGATTAGAGCTCGAAATCGATCTTTCAAGACATTTCTGCCACTTTGAGCTTAATTGCATTTTTGTCTAAAGTTTGGCGGTTTGGCGGGTCACTTCTCAGGGTTTAGGGAACAATTCGGGTGACTACCAGAAGTTGCTTCGGACATTGAATGGCAAGTATGGCGTCCCCACTGTGGTGGCTAACGTATCGAGGGTTGATTGGCTGAGGAATGCCGCTGGTTTGGTCGACCCCAACTACTGGCGTGGCACTCTTAAACCTAGACCTGTGCTGGATTGGTAAGGTTACTTTATTTCTTTCTCTTTCCCAATGCAAGCTAAGAAAGAAGCACACAACGTATATTGTAATTAGTTTCAGGCAGATTTTAGTTTTGAAGTAGCAATGATTCATAAAAGGCAAGCCATTTGCTTAAGATTAGCGATGCCTTTTCGGGTCTTAGTTAATTACCTGGGTTCGAAACCGTTCTTTGGTCTATGTAGGTATTTGAAGAGGGTTCATGATGCTGTTCAGGAGGCAAAGGAGTTGGCAGAAGGTTGATGTACAGCCTGTCTTTCATTTGACCTTGAGTTTGTTTTCCCATATAGTTCTCTGGGTTAAATAAACGACCTTTAGAATCATAGCCTTATTAACTAAATTTTGTTTTGGCTTGGACCTTTTTACTATTGATTAATTTGTTCGGTTTCTCAACTAGTTGAGATTTTACTCTGCTTGGTGCTTTGATCTGTTAGATGGTTAATGCCGTACGCAGCATGTTAAACATAGACAAACATATATCCTATATAACACACACACACACATTCACGGACGCACGCACGCACGCACTTACTTTAGAATTTCTATTTCTGCATTTTTTCTGTTTTGTTTTATTTTCAGATCCAGAAAGTATACCTGCCGTTGGGTGATACCTTCCACTCATATAAACTTCACTGCTCAAGTGATTGCAAAACATTAGAAAAAAATGTATTGAACTATAATTATAGACAAAAAACATAAACAGCATTCTGGAATGATTCATCTTTTGTGATCTTTCTTATGACAGCTCTCAAATATGTCTAGAACTGGGGGCAAACAATAGGGCAGATAGAGCTACAATGGAAATATTAAGACTGCAAACAACCATTTAAAGTTATCCCGCAAAAAATGAATTTTCTGCCAGCATAAATCCAGGCGACCATGAAATTTGGAACTATTATTCATTATCTTCCTCCCCTGCGATTTTTCTTCATCACAGAATATTTGAATCCCCATCATGTCCTCTTTGTGCGTTATCAAATTACAAATTCTAATCCCTGCAAATAATCTTGTGCTAGGTGCGACTTTATCCTTGATTGGACACTCAGCAGGAGGATGGCTTGCACGGGTCTACATGGAAGAATTTGGGATGTCCCATATTTCCTTGTTATTGACTCTCGGAACCCCTCACCTGTAATGTTCATGCTTATAGATATTAAATCGTCTAAAATGGTTTGGAGTTGGTTAATTGTTAATACTTTCGGCATAGTTCCTTTACAGAATGGCATTACTAGTTTTAATTAAATTGAATTGATCTTCTAGTTCTAAGAAGCATATAAAGTTTTATCATTTTAGTTTAGCCTTTAATTCAATTTAAGAGAGATGGTTATGAAACTTAATGTGAAGCCGATGTGATGTTAAGTGCTTACTTGGCATTGAATTACAAAGTGCACCAAGCACCATTTCGAATTCCTTGGCTAATTCTGAGGGTCAAGTGAAAACTTAGTGCAACATCAACTACACTTTAGGCCACGTGAACCATCTTTTTTTACTATCAGCTAAGAAGCTTATTTTAAGGATGAAAAAGAAGATACTGATTGGAGGATTGATATAAGATATTAAATTGGGAAAATAACATTAAGGTCCCACAGAAGAGAAAATACTGCAAAAAAATCCCTTCAGATCTGATAACTACTTAGGAGTCCCAAAGGGACTTGGTTACAATAAGACAAATCATGAAAAGACTATGTTGTCCCTACTGAAATGAAATCTGATTTTGAACCCTATTCCTATTCGCATATTGCTATCTCAGTCTCATCTAAAAAACTAGAGCTAAATCAACCCTCATTGGAAGCAAGGAATCTCCAATCTGTTTACCTTCGCTATAATCATTGAAGATTGTTTAGGTATAGGGTATCATTGAAGCTGTTTATGGTCGAAACAAAGTTGTTGTTGTCAACATCTCTGTGTTCATCCATATTCTTCATTTATGGCAATGTATTCCTTCTGTTTCTTTGCGAATATTTTGAGTTTAAAATGCTACACTAAGACCTTTGGGTTGGTGATTTAAGTTGGGGTTTCATTGTGGGTGGGTAGGATGATGATGAGTGCTCTATTTTTGGTGACATTGTGGGTGGTTTTGCTTTGTTTTAGCATGGTTTAGCATGAAAAGCTGAAGATGAAAGTTGATGTGGGTAGAAACTTTTTCTGCGAAATGGGATATTGTATTGTCAATGTAGGTTGTGAAAGTTGTTAATGGATGCTGTGATAGTTCTCAGTGGGGCTGCTTACTTGTCAATAACAACTGGATGATTGTTGATGCAGATTTATATTACTGATAGCCAGTTTGTTTGGGAAGTATTTATTTTGCTTTGTTCATATAGGGGATAAGTTTATAAATGATGGAGAAGATGATATAAGATATATTAGAGGTAGTGCAAGAACAATAAGTATAAAAGAAGGGACAAGTTTTGAAGAGTGTAACTGAAACTCCCATATTGATTGTGCTTGTAAAATGGCATTTTGTATTGAAGTTATTAAATGCTGTGATAAAAATAGTTGATGACACTATGCTTACAATTTACAATGCCACTTTTGACAATTTAATGTGGCTGTATTGACAAGTGAATTATGAAGTTGATATCTATGGACTAGTGAACAAGTAGTATTATTGTTTTGTATCAAATTCATGGATAATCTAATTCCATGCAGCCTATTACTTTATGTGAAGGTGTTATTTATTTGAAATTTTCAATTCAATTATGTTTAATAAAGTAAATATGAAAATGACATTAAACAACACAAAATTTAACAAGTTACAATGGTCTTATTAACAAGTTAACGTGTGGATATTAACAACTGATGTTAAAAACTTTTAAATAGAAGGTGTCATTTATTTAAAATGTTCAATTAAGTTATATGTAACTTAAAATGAAAATATTAACCAAAAGGTATAACCAAAATTTATGTTAATTGGATAACAATTTTTCAAAATTTGACAAGTGATAGTGCCACCATTGACAAGTCATAGTGTTACTATTGACAAGTCACAGTGCATTTGTTGACAAGTTTGATAACGCTCAATTTGTCGCGGTGCCTGGAATAATTCACTGCAACCTTTGAAGCAGAAAAAATGAGAGACATTCTGTAATAGACACCATGGTGCTTGGATGAATTTGCCATAGCACCTGGATGAAATTCTATGCCTTTGATTTCATGGTTAACAAGTCACAGTGTGACTATTAACAAGTCACAGTGTCACCATTGACAAGTTACAATGTCACCATTAACAAGTCATAGTGTTACTATTGACAAGTCATAGTGCGTTCGTTGACAAGTTTGATAATGCTCAATTCGTCACAGTGCCCGGAGCAATTTGTTGCAACCTCTGAAGCAGAAAAAAGGAGAGACATTCTGTAATAGGCACCGTGGCACTTGGATGAATCCGCCACAACACCTGGATGAAATTCTGTGCCTTTGATTTCATGGTTAATAAGTCACAGTGTGACTATTGACTAGTCACAATGCTACCGTTGACAAGTTACAGCGCCACCGTTGACAAGTCATATTGTTACCGTTGACAAATCAAATGGTAATTATGATTTATTGATTTTTTTTGAGTTAACAAATGTCACATTAGTCCAGAGAATATGTCAATATTAAGTGACACTATATAACTTGAAATCACATTTTTTTAAAACTTATATTTGCGGTTATATTGACAAGTGACAGTGCAGCGGATAACAGGTGACACTATCACCATTAACAAGCGATGGTGTAGTTGTTGACAATTCATTTTATAATTTTATATTGGTAATGATATACTTTTAATAATGATAACTAAAATATAATATGTCAAAGTAATTAAAAACATCTCATGATGCTAAAACCCATTATATAACTTGAATTCACATTTTAGATAACTTACATTAGTAAGTTAATTGACAAGTCATAATACAAGTAGTGACAAGTCAAAACAAGTCTATTGACAATGCGGGGCGTAATAATTATTGTAGTTAATATAGAAATAATTATTAATAGTCAGATCTCAAGGGATTAGGATAGATTTAAATATTTCCTTGTATCTCTCGTGTATCTCTCTTTATTCTGAATATCTCTCCCTGTATAGTCTTTCCATATCTCTAGATATTCTTCTGCTGTATATATAATGTACCACCGTACATGTGAATAGGGAATAAGATGAAGTATTTTCCCTAAAAGTCTACATGGTATCAGAGCCCCACTGGTTTTGTCCACATCATTCGCAGTCTCCCTCACTGTCCGGCCTTTCCCTGTAATCGGCCAAGTCCAGGTCGATGGATTCACCTGATTCCTCCTCCACGTCAGACCCCCCCCGTGTCGACCAGCATTCTATCTCAACCTCTAATGTCGACCCATCTCCTGTTGTGATCGTCTCCGAAAAACTCACAGATAGCAATTATCGGGAATAGGCGCAGGCGATCCGTCTAGCCATCGGCGGTCGAGGAAAGCTTGGTTACATTACTGGTGAGTCGAGACCTCCGTCTGATTCTGTGTCTCCTGCTATGACCAAGAGGGTGACCGAAAATTCTATGGTATCCTCATGGTTGGTCAATGCCATGTCTTCCCATCTCAAATGAAGCTTAATGTACATGCCAACAACGAAGGACATTTGGGACGCCGTACGAGATTCATACTTTGATGGTGATGATCTCTCCCGTCTGTATGCCCTCAAAACCAGCATTTGGAGCCTTAAACAAGGTACTCGGAATGTTACCGAGTATTGGTCGGAACTTGTGGGTTTGTGGCAAGAATTTGATTTGCTTGCTACTGAAGAATGGTCTTCCTTCGTTGATGCAGCATGTTACCGTCAGAGTGTAGAGAAGGAGCGGGTGTTTCAGTTCCTCGCGGGCCTCAACCCAGAATTTGATGACATTCGTGGTCGTATCTTGAGTCGTCAATCCCTGCCGTCTACTCATGAAGCTTTCTCCGAAGTTCGCAGGGAAGCCTCCCGACGTCAAGTCATGTTACCTGAACCTACACCTTCTCACTTTGACTCCTCTGCCTTGGTTAGTAAGGCAACCGGTTCCGGACCTCCCACCACTAAGTCTAAGGTTTTGTGTGATCATTGTAAGAAACTGGGTCATACTCGTGATCGTTGTTGGGATCTTCACGGAAAACCCACTGATTGGAAGTCTCGCAAGGGCAAATCCTGCGGTTACCATGTCTCCCATGAACCTTCTATGACTTCCACTGATCCTTCTCCGGCTGCTCTCAATGCACAATTCACCCAATTACTTGATTTATTGAAAGGTCTTCAACCCCAACCACAGGACCTTGTTGCCTCTGCCTCCATTGCCCGTAAAGGTAATGGTACGTCTGCTCTCCTTTCTTCGTTCCCTTCTGACAAGTGGATCGTTGACACGGGCGCTACTGATCATATGACTTCAAATGCTCGAATGTTTGTCACTTATTTCCCTTGTGCTGGCCATGAGACGATCACAACGGCTAATGGCACTGGGTCTACTATTGTCAGGAAGGGCACAGTTCATATTTCTGATTCTCTGTGCCTTGAATCTGTCTTACATGTTCCACATTTAGCTTGTAACCTTTTATCTATTAGCAAGTTAACCAAGCATGCAAATTGTGGTGCTTATTTCTTTCCCATGTATTGTTTATTTCAGGATCTCTCCTCGAGGAAGATGATTGGCACAGCTAAGGAGCATGAAGGTCTCTATTATCTCGATATTTCTACTGTACGTGCTTTGTGTTCCCGGATGCATGGTCTTGCCTCTTCTAATGATGTTTTCTTATGGCATAAAAGGATGGGTCATCCTAGTTTTTCCTATTTGCAACGATTGTTTCCTCATTTAAACATTAATAAAAATTCTTTTCCTTATTGTGACTCTTGTGAATTCGCTAAGCATCATCGTTCCTCTTTCCCCGCTTCCCAATACAAACCAACTCGTCCGTTTTCTATTATTCATAGTGATGTATAGGGTCCCTCACGTGTTCCAAATCGTTCCAATGCAAAATGGTTTGTTACTTTCATTGATGACCATACTCGTATGTCTTGGGTCTATTTACTTGAGGACAAATCTGATGTTTCATTCGTCTTCATGGAATTTCACAAACTCGTCCAAACTCAGTTTAATTCCTCCATTCAAGTCTTGTACTCCGACAATGGCACCGAATACTTTAACCATTCCCTACACCAGTTTTTGAAAACCAATGGCATTGTTCACCATAGCTCTTGCCCCAACACACCCCAACAAAATGGTATCGTTGAACACAAAAATTGTCACCTACTTGAGGTTGCCCGGGCTCTTCTCTTCACATGTAATGTGCCCAAATTCTTTTGGGGTGATGCTATCTCACTGCTACACATCTCATCAATCGTATGTCTTGCCGAGTCCTTTCCTATATCTCTCCGTTAGACAAACTTCGTGAAACTATTCCACTCACCCATCTTGATCATTCCCTTCCGCTGCATGTCTTTGGTTGCTCAGTCTTTGTTCATCTCCATCACACTTAGTCCAAATTTGATTCTCGTGCTGTTAAATGTATTTTTCTGGGGTATTCTTCGACTCAGAAAGGGTACAAATGCTTTGATCCTATCTCCAAGTGTCTCTTTGTCAGCCACGATGTCACCTTCTCTGAGCATGAACCTTACTTTCCTAAGCCTTCCATTCAGGGGGAGAGTTGGTGTGAATTTCAGTCTAAGGAAAATGTGCCCGAGCCAATACCTCCCCTCTCCCTTGTTGAGCTTGTAACATCACCTAAAGTTATCCCTTCACTGGACCCGGACCAAATGCCTAAGACAGGGGGAGACACAATAAAAAACAAGTACAACAAGGTCTATTCTCGACGAAATAAAGAGACAATAGAGACTGTCATGCCCATAGTAGTGCCAGATTCAGAACCGGGGAAAGATTCTAGGGAGACTGAATTGATAACTGAAGATGATCTGCCCATTGCCTTGAGAAAGAAGGCACGCTCTTGCACCTCACATCCTATTCAAAAGTATGTATCTTATGCCACACTTTCAAAACACTATCATGCCTTTGTGACTGAACTTGACAAGATCAATATACCTAACAATGTTTATGAAGCACTTAAACATCTAGAATGGAGGAAAGCAGTAATTGAAGAAATGATGGCATTGGAAAAAAATAGAACATGGGAAATAGTTGACTTACCAAAGGGTAAGAAAGTTGTGGGATGCAAATGGGTATTTACTCCTAAGTACAATGTAGATGGCTCACTAAACAAGTTCAAGGCACGTCTAGTAGCGAAGGGTTTCACTCAAACCCATGGAATAGACTACAATGAAACATTTGCCCCCGTAGCAAAACTAAACACCATTAGAGTTTTACTGTCTATTGCATCTAATTTGGATTGGTCACTACAACAACTAGACATAAAAAATGCCTTCCTAAATGGGGAATTAAAAGAAGAAGTGTACATGACTTTACCTTTAGGCTTCGACAAGGGAAGAAGAAACCAAGTGTGTAAACTTAGAAGGTCTCTTTACGGTCTAAAACAGTCACCAAGAGCATGGTTCGATAGATTCTCCAAGGTCCTAAGAGTTGAAGGCTACAAGCAAAGTCTATCTAATCATACAATGTTTGTCAAAAAGAATGGGAGGTTAACAACAATCCTCATTGTCTATGTGGATGACATCGTTCTCACTGGAGATGATGTAAAAGAAATTGACCGAATCAAGGTTGCTTTAAACCAGGAATTTGAGGTCAAGGATTTAGGCAACTTGAAGTACTTCCTTGGAATGGAAGTTGCAAGGTCACAAAAGGGAATTTATGTTTCTCAGAGGAAATACATTCTGGACCTACTTAATGAAATTGGCATGCTTGGGTGCAGACCGAGTAAAACCCCTATAAGTACCAAGAAGAGCAATAACAAGAAGAAGAAAGTCATGACAGAAGAAGAAAAAAGGAAGCAAAGGAAAGATGAGGAACCAGTAGATATCGGAAGATACCAAAGATTGGTTGGGAAGTTGATTTACTTATCCCATACAAGGCCAGATATCGCTTTTGTAGTGAGTGTAGCTAGCCAACACATGCATTCACCGAGAAAAAGACATATGGATGCTGCCTACAGGATATTAAGATACTTAAAAGGGACACCTGGAAGAGGACTTTTCTTCAAGAAATGTGACTCTAGAGCCGTGGAAATTTACATTGATGTTGATTGGGCAGGAGCTCGAGAAGATAGTAGGTCAACATCTGGCTATTGTACGTTCGTGTGGGGCAATCTTGTAACATGGCAAAGTCAAAAACAGAAGGTGGTCTCTAAAAGCAGTGCAGAATTCGAGCTGAGAGCCTTAGCACAAGGTATCATAGAGGGTTTGTGGCTGGAGAGAGTAGTTGCAGAGGCTCATTTGCAGATCAATGGACCACTGAAACTGTTCTGTGACAACAAAGCTGCTCTAAACATGGCATTAAACCCAGTACAGCACAACAAAACCAAACATGTTGATGTTGATCAACACTTCATTCGTGAGAAAATGGAGGAAGGACTTATATGCCTCTCCTATGTAACTTCAAAACAGCAACTAGCAGATATCCTCACCAAAGGACTATTAGAAGACGTATTTGAAAACTTCATTAGCAAGCTGGACATGTTTAGCATCTATGATCCAACTTGAGGGAGAGTGTAGTTAATATAGAAATAATTATTAATAGTCAGATCTCAAGGGATTAGGATAGATTTAAATATTTCTTTGTATCTCTCGTGTATCTTTCCTTATCCCGAATATCTCTCCCTATATATTCTTTTCATATCTTTAGATATTCTTTTGCTGTATATATAATGTACCGCCGTACATGTGAATAGGGAATAAGACGAAGTATTTTCCCTAAAAGTCTACAATTATAACTCAAATGACAGCAGAGTCTAACACATCAATTTATAGTCAACTTTTATTTACACCTTCATATACATGGAACTACATTTATTTCACAACCCATCTAAAAAAAACCATATTGGTTGTATGTAATTACTAAACGAACTGTATATCCATTTATAAAAAAATCCATTTACACCCATTTACAAAATATTTCTTTCACATTTATATATAAAAAATAGCTGACTTCTTCTGTGCTGAGATTTTGACTCTTGTTAATATTACAATTCAAGTGATCAATCACAATTGAAGAAGCTAAATTTGACCTTCCTGAGTGAGAAACAAGCAAGTTGTTCTGTGCATGATGGATGTGTTCACTTCTGTATGCTCTGATAGTTAAAAACACAATATCTTGATGTGCTTCCATCGAGTATGTACCCATATACCATAGATAACTATCAATCTTGTACTTCACAATGATCTTTTGTTGATTATTCTTGATCAATTTATACAAAAACTTTTGTGATATGTTGTACTTGTATAATTTTATTCTTGCACTACTTCCAATATATCTCATATCATCTTTTTTATTATTTATAAATTTACCCCTATATGAACAAAGCAAAATAAATGCTTCCCAGACGTACTGGCCATCATTAATGTAAACCTGTATCAACAATCATCCAGCTATTATTGACAAGTGAAGCAGCACTATTGATAACTATCATAGCATCCGTTGACAACTTTTGCAGCCTAAATTGACAACACAATATCCCATTTCGCAGAAAAGGTATCTACCCACACCAACTTTCATCTTCTTCAGCTCTTCACACTAAACCATGCTAAAACAGAGCAAAACCATCCATAATGTAACAAAAAACAGAACACCTATCATCATCCTACCCACCCATAGTGAAACCCCAACTTAAATCACAAACCTAAAAGTCTTAATGTAGCATTTTAAACTCAAAAAATTTACAGAGAAACAAAAAGAATATATTGCCATAAATAAAGAACATGGATGAACACAGAGATACTGATAAGAACAGCTTTGTTTTGACCATAAATAGCTTCAATAATGCCCTATACTTGGACGATCTTCAATGATTACGGCGAAGGTAAACAGATTAGAGGTTCCTTGCTTCTGATGAGGGTTGATTTAGTATTAGTTTTTGAGAGGAGAGTGAGATAGCAATGTGCAAATAGGAATAGGGTTTAAAATCAGATTTCATTTCAGCAGGGACAACATAGTCTTTTTATGATTTGTCTTATTGTAGCCAAGTCCCTCAAGGACTCCTAAGTAGTTACTAGATTTGCAGGGATTTTTTTGCAGTATTTTCTCTTCTGTGGGACCTTAGTGTCATTTTCCCTATTAAATTTGTGAGAGAACAAATGAGACAAGATGTACTTTTGGAGGACTAAAATTTACGCCCACTCCTTTAATTATTCAACATGAGGGAAATAGTTCTCTTAACTTACTATGATGATGTTTTCTTCAACATTCTTCTCAGCCCACCTCCAAAGGGCACACCTGGGGTCATTGATCAAACACGGGGTCTCCTGAATTATGTTGAACAAAACTGCTCAAAAGCTGTTTACACCCCTCAAACGAAGTATGTCTGTATTGCTGGAAGGTAAATCATCCTTCATGATTTGCTGATTGGGTTATTTATTTGTTGGATAAGTGTGATATTATTTTTCTCTTCTTAGCCTCTCAAGTGCTAAATGCTTTAACTGTTGATGATTTTTATGTTTTCATTGAATTTCATGTTTGCATAAAAAGTTGTTCAACTTTGTGATCCTTGAGATAGATGTGCCCTAATGATTTTCAAATGCATATCGATTCTAAAGTATTTGACTGTAGTAGTGAACCAAAAAGTGGTTGAAACCTAGAAGTCCAGCAACACCTTGATTCATTATGTTCTAGTTAGGAACCATATTTATGGTTCGACACCTCATGTGGATCTAAAATCTGAAGTAATCTATTTTGGTAACAACTTTAGGAGTTTATGGGATGAAGATACTACCAAAAATACTCTTAAAGAGTTCAATATTTATGTTATTGTTAGTGTAACTTCAATAGTCCAGGCAAAAGGAGTGATTGATAATATGGATTCTAATTGAGTACAGCTATATGCAGGTATATTGAAGGGGCTCAGTTTTTTGACCAGTCAAATGCAAAAATTGAGTCTGTGGTTCCGATAAATGGTTCTCAGCCAGCTCCTGAAGCTGCCGTTATGAGTGCTTCAAGCAATTCTCCACCTATTAATACGACTTTCCGAACTCGCTTTGTTGGACAAGGGTACAAGCAGGTGATTGAATCATTTTAAAGCAAAATTTCATCTTGATTCTCCAATGATGATCCCAATATAAATTGGCTTCCTCGAAGTGGCTGTAGTCGCTTATATAGTAGAAAGTTTGATTAGTTTCAAGCCCATAGAACATTTTCTCCTCCAAATATTGTATAATATCATTTACTCCTTGAAAAGTTAAGCAGGGTCATTAGTTTACTTCTTGAAAGAGCAGATTAGAACCAAATCCAAGTTGAGTATTGAAGTGATATAATAATATCTGTCGAAGAGGTGATTGACATTAGTCGATTTTTATGGTCTTTACCAGGAACTTTTATTTTGAGTCTCTAACTGCCATTGACATAAGTGATGGATCCTCTACTGTCATGTTCTTCCTGATCAATTATGGGTGACTAAATCCAACCAAAAAACAAAAGGTGACTAAAGCCATGAGATTTTTTCAGGTTTGTGGGCAGGCAGATGTGTGGGGTGATGGTGTGGTGCCAGAGGTATCAGCCCATCTTGAGGGCGCACTCAACATTAGCTTGGATGGAGTTTATCACTCACCTGTTGGTTCAGATGATGAGTTGAGACCTTGGTATGGCTCCCCTGCTATTCTAGAGCAATGGGTAGAACACCTTCTCAATTAAATTCAATGGATCAATCAGCATTTTGTTCATGCGCCTTATTTAGTCTTCTAGAGTTTGTTGTTGACAGAGCACAATGATATCACGTAACCTCACTTAGTAGGGTAAAGTTTAATGTTGTGGTACCTAGTATTTTGAGCTGTAGAATACAATGAGTGTAATCAAGTGTAAAGCCATGAACCCAGAATCGGAGCCTTTCTCACTGTCCTAGGAGAAAAGGAATTTCGTTTTCAATTTTGCAGTGTCGTTTGTTTCATTGTTATTATCAAGGATCTGATTATAAGTTATTTATGTACTCTTCCGGTCCTTAATATAGGACTCATTTAACTAATTTGATTAGATTAAAGAAGTTAGGTAAGTTAGTTAATTATAAGAAATGTGACACATTTTTCCTAAAACACAATAATCATCTTTCTTAATAGCCCGTCTCCTTCTTCTACTTGATTATGGTTGAGAGAGTATTCATAGGGGTAATTTAGAAAAAATTGATAAATATGAAAAATGGGTCTTATATTTAGAACCAAAATCAACTCAACAATTGAGTCTTATATTAAAGAGCGGAGGAGTATTAGAATTCATTAAGATTTTCCATCTTTCATATGAATACCGTGTGTATTAATTTGTGAGCAATTGATGAATTGACTAATCGGCCAATAGAACGCGTGTTTTCTTACTTGCGGTTGTCGTAAACAGACACGTATTATGAATGCTTGTCATGCTCTTGCTTTTTATATGTGCTTCTCGGAATGAAGCTAGCCTTGAAGCTTCAGCCTCCGCTTCCCCATGTGTCAATCCTTCTGTCAAACTGCAAAAGACTATCAAATTAAATAGTGATGCTGAGTAGAACAAGCTTCTTTCCTTAAATAAAAGTGAGAAATGATTTCTTTTTAGAATTACGAGAGCAAACAGTTTGTTACGAGTATGACTAGATTTGTGATCCCTTGTTCATAGGAAAGCTTTCATGCTAATATGCCGTAAGCGCATTAGCTAAATTGAACTTTGAAAGCAGGAAAACTTCACGTTTGGCAAGCTGCCTCTAATTGGGTCAAAACAATATTTAAACACTACCTCCAATCCTTAATATAAAATCTTATTTAATTTTTATTTTGATCCCAAATATAAGATGTTAATTTATTTTGTTTATCATATTTATGCATTTTTATCCAAAATAGTCTTTTTAATAATAGTAGTTTTAGTTAATACATTTGATTAGCAAAGATATTTTAGGGAAGGCAACATCTATTTATTAGAACTAACCAACTTAACTTATTTACTTAATTTTTTCAAATTAGTTAACTAGCTTTTATATTTAGGACAGGAGGTAGTATAGCTTAATAGTATTAGAGATAACTGTATCTTTTTTTTCCTAGTATATTTCTATTGAGGGTAATTCTATTCCAGATGTTGTTGAGTATTAAATGTGGGGACATTTCTCAGCGGGTCGAAGGCAATTCTATTTGAGGTACTATTAGGTACTGAATATGGGTATATCTTTCAGTAGGGATTTAAACATAAGTTCGCCACGTTATGAGGGACTAGCCATTGTTTTTGTGAAAAGATAATAGTACCAGTTAAATATTTTAGAATAACGTAATTGAATATAGAAAGAGAGCGTGATGCAAAAGAATAAAAATGCGTATATAATTCATTTTCTGTCTTTATAGCTTTTTTTATTATATTATTAGTCATTAATTTGTCGTTCTAGAGAATTGGATTAACGCCACCTCATCAGAAATTTTGACGCCACCGCGGAGATGTTTGGGAATTGGGACATGCGGACACACTTTTTTCTTTTTTTTTGGTGACCCAAAAGAGGAGCCATTCGACCATATCAAATTTAATAACTAGGACTCGATAACAAGAACAAGAGGTTCAAACTAAATTAATTATACGGTCTTTGATTGGAAATCATAATTTTACAAATAGTTTTATGATACAAGGAGTAAGCATATGATAAGAGTCGTACCGACTTATATGAAACCACTTTTTAAAGTGTTTATCATGAGACAGCTACGCACGTTATCAATCAAACGATGTGGTTTCTTTATTGAGTCATATAACATATTACAAGTAAAGGAAAACACAATTTGTTTTCAAAAGATATTTGTTATGGGGAATATCTTTTCCTTCTCCTTTCTAAATAAAAAGTTAGTGTTTTTTTTTTTTTGCAGTGATTTACCCTGTTCAACTTATTGATCCAACAAAAATTGATGTTGGAAAATTGATTATATATGAATAAAAATAATTATTTTTAATTTAATTATTAAGTCATCGATTTAATCATTAGTCGGACTAATTGACCACTAAACTCTTGATCTGATCAAATTTTTGGTCCCTTTGGTTTGGGTTTTAAAAGATTGGTTCTTATCCCACATAAAAGAATTTTAAATGTTATTATAAGTAATAATTTTGGATTTTCTTTTGTCAATATAATAGTGTGAAGGTAACGATAACAATTATATGCCTTTCAAGAAGGGAACAGAATAATGTAACACGAACCAAAAAGTAAAAGTGAGGGGGGGAAAAAAATCCACTGTGCAATTAGGCGGTATCGTTTTTTTCATTCATTCATTTTTGGTTTTTTTCCCTTGAGAAAAAGACATATAGGGACCACTAAAAGAAGTAAATGACATTGAAGGACTAATTAATTCATACATGTATGGTTAAGGCGTTTATATAAATTTTCTTTTCTCCTCTTTAAATATATATAATGGTAGTATTTTTAAGAAAGAAAACAACTTTTGCTTTTACATTTATGACTGCCTCACCGTCAAAAGGCCTAAAGCATGATGTTGCTCAGGACCTCAAGTCCATTTGAGTTATCTTGGCTTGCATGCGTTCGAATTTAGAATGGAACTAACACCCACTTCCACGCCCATTAAACTTGCGCAAATTCCGTAGATAAATTCACAAACAAAGGTTTAAATGTTTATGTTAAGAGTTCATAAGTGTCATGACTTATGAGAGCTTCTTTGAGAGTCAGAGATTATGAGTTTGATCTCACTCATAACATCAGACTTTTAATACTTGTCTTTTTAATTCAAATAAACGATTTGATCTTTTTTTTCAAAGAACAACAAGCTTGATAATAGATTATACTTATAGTTTCATGATAATATCCTCCATCTGCTGAAAAATAATATTGTAAGATTTTTTACTGAATAATGCACTAAATCAAGTGGTTGTATTTGTATTGAGAACGTTAATAAAGAAAAGGGGGAGTAAATTAAACAAAATTCCTTTTTGGTTTTGATCTACGCAAACCTCTTATTTACTATTCTCAATCAAAATTTCTAGGGGGAATTAAAAATTAGATTAATTCACTCCTTATCTTACTTTTTTTTAATTCTCCCAATCCAGAAACACCCTTGGTCCTCTGTTCACTGTCTTATTTGGCAGGGAACTAAAACCTGGTGACGGGCTGGCCTTGAACTCATCAAGAAACAAATACTACTACCTTTACTTCTTAATATAATAATTAATTAACTAATTTGAGTAAATTAAGAAAATTAATTAAGTTATTTATTTGTAATAAATACATGTTCTCTTCTCTAATATATCATTACTAATCATGTATATTAATTAGAATTACTATTTGATAAAAGCTTTAATATGTGTCACTACTACAAAGACTATCTTAAAAAAATAGATAAATATAAGAGATAAAATAGGTTGGGGTTAGTTCGCACCGCAAGTGCAGGAGTCATTACAAGTAATAAAGTAATGAGTAGACTATTGTTCCCATGAAGATTTGGTTTCAAAACCTGGTCAAGTATTAATTATCATACTTTCGCTTAATTTGAGTGATAGAAACACATCAAGAATGAAGAAAACTACTTTTAAAAATAAAAAAATTAATAAAAACAAATTATTCTTGGACTTCAAGGATAAATCGGGATCTAGAGTTATTATCTTCTTTGTATTTAGTAGCATTCAATCTCACCTCCTCTCATAAAAGCTTTTAATGAAAATATGTGTGTCAGTCTAGGATTCAAAAAGTACTTGTAAAAGTTTTCTCAAGCCAAGAACAAGTTTTCAATTCTATTAATTGCTCAATCTCTTGTTACAATTAATAAAACTCAATTTTAAGCTCTAATTCTAAGGTGACTATGTAAGGTTAGCAAGTATATCTCTATCTTACTAACAAAACTATCCATTCAACAAGCAAACTTTAAATTCTTGTACAATTTTACCCAAGTTATACACTTAAGCTAGCTCTCTCAAGCATCACTCAAATGAACGGAACATCTAAATGGTGATCAAGCACTTAGAAGCATTAAGCAAGGGTACAATAAACACATATATATCATTAATCACAAAATGAGAGGAGGAATCAAGAGTTAATCGATACAAGGATTCAAAATAATCCTAGAATCAAAGCTTTAACCCCACACGTTGAGAACTCTCATGAGAAAATATATATATTCAGCACAAACATTGAACAAGAGGAAGGAAAAGGAGAATGGAGAAAAACCAGGATGTGAAGTCAAAATCTCTTCCAATCTTCAAATCCCAACTCAATCTCCACCAAAATCCTTGCCTTAGCACACCAAAAGAGCTCTTAAGATGGCCCCAACAGTCCAGAATGCCCAACCATTGCGTTTCTCTTTCCATTTAACCCTAACAGCGCATTAATAATTGAAACGCAAAGTAGTGGATTTTCTTTATTCACTGTGGATTGGCTGTGGTGAATCAACAGCAAATAGCCACAAATTTCACCCCTCTCAGGCTGCATTTTCCTTGCGTTTACTGTGGCAGTGGTTGTGGCAAACCAACAACTAATGTACTGAAAAATGAGAGTTTTCTGTATTAGTCTTCAGAGCTCTTCCAGCTAATCTACTATTCAAAGGTGTCCTACATAGCTTGAAAACATTGGTCTCCATTCTCATACTTAAAGGAGAAATGTGAAAGTTCTAAACAACTCTAAATAATCACAACTATCTCAAGAGTGTTCCAAAAAGTTAAACTAAGCATATTTTCTTTAATGGCTCTATTTCTATGCACAATTTAACTCTTAAAACAGGAGGTTAAGGAGGAAAATGTGATAAAAAGATATGAATTTCTTGAAGTTAACAGGGTTTTTTATTTAAAACCAAATTAAATGTCAAATTAATTCTTATATTATGAATTAGAGGTA